TGTGGGTCATCCGATGCTGGTTTATATGGACGTGCCGATGGATTCACCTGCTGCGTGAATAATGAACTGGGGGGGGGGTTATGGAACGGACTCATTAGTGCCCAGTTACAATTCTCTCTAGTCCAATTGATGTAAAGAAAATCACGATACATTCTTGGATAGATATATTAATGTATTAAATACAGTCATACGCGAGGATGCTGCTTTTTGTAGACGAATACTGAAAATGTGCATTATATACGTATATTATCATTTATTGTCCACTTTCCGAACAGTTTATCCACCCATAGAAACATCCACCTATTTACCCATCCATTTGTCCATCAAGCTACCAATCGCATGCTGAACGGAACTGAACTGAACTGTTCCAAGGTACGGGTTAAGTTTCGTTGTTATACTAAGACTGCGAAAGGCCGCACCATAGCTCAAGAGGTTAGTCGCTGGCTTCCCATCGCGGCGGCCCGGGTTCGATCCCGGCTCTGGTCAAGTGGGATTTTTGGTGGACAAAGTGGCGCTGGGGCAGGTTTTCTCCGAGTACGTACACACGTACAGCAGTTTGTGATCGCTGGTCGCGGCAACGGACATCATCATCATCAGCGGCGTAATGTGCGCAAACAAAAAGTTGTTCGAATTATCTCGAATTCCCAATTACTGAGGTTTCACTGTATTTCATCCACAGCCATATTTTTCGATTTCTATCGAATGTCCATCAGTTCGCAAATCAGCATTTCGCTGTCTGCAAAACTGTCCAAGCGTTTTACAGATTAGAAAACCGGACGGACGTGTACACGCATTAGACAGACTCTTCACGTTAGTCCGAAATAAGAAAAATGAAAGCTAAATTTGTTCCTGTGCGTAATTAATGAAGCATCACCCCATAATGATGTACAGGGAAATGTAGCTTCACGCCCCGGCTGTTTTACCTCTGTGGAAGGAGACCCTGATACCCATTGGATAGGAGGCTGGGTGGACCCCATAACCGGTCTGGACACTACAAAGAATTTCTTGCCCCTACCGAGAATCGAACTCCGGCCGTCCAGCCCGTCGCTATATCGATGGAGCTATCCCGGCTCCTCGAGTGAGAACGCAGCGCCGTTAGAAATATGGCCGCGTCCATCTGGCCACACGAGTTGATCCCTGTGGGTCATACCGGCGGCAGAAATACACCACTGTCTCCTCCACTTACGGGACTGCCAGCGATTCGAACATCGTGCTCCCATTTGGCTGCATCCAGTGTGTTGAAGTCCTCCTCGAAGATCAGCTGGCCCTGGCATGCAGACTTCCCGCTCACAAGTGTAGGAGACCTGCCACATGTCGCAGGAGGAGGGGTTACGGGCGGTTTCGGGTTTCTGTCCGCCCCGTCCTCGTTGTTCGGATCCACAAATTCTGTTTTAACAAATGCAGACATTCACAGCTCCGTGTTTGTCATCAAACCATGAACTGAAGATTATCATCTTTCGGGATGAGACAACGTGTATTCTGATAAAAGTTTAATAACCTTCATAGTCACCATTGTCAGAACCTCAAATTAAACTAAGAATCGTTTCACAGAAGCTGTAATATATATAAACCTCTCTTAATATCAGCTCGTTGTAAACTGAATGTACTCTTCGGCAAATATTATTAGAATAATAAAATCAAGAAATATGAGATGGGCAGGACGTGTAGCACACAATAGCTGGTGCAGTAGGCCAGAAGTGGCCGCAGTACAGGGGACTTAGTCCCACCCCACTAGCAATAAAAAATAGTAACATGAACTCTGTAATGTAATGGTTGGTTTGGAGTCGGACGTACAGGTGCACAAAATTACGTTTCCTATTTATGACTCGATAGAATTAAAGAACAATACGAGTATTTGCTCCTTCGCAATGACAACTCTAACTGGCTCATCAATAATCTTTACTTTTATTAAGTACGGGCACTTACCGGTAACCGTCCAGGTTTGATCCAGTTTCTGGTATCCAAGTCCTTCATAAATGACGTACAACCAATAGTAGATGACATCACCAACATTTAGTTTGAGCCTGTCATCAAGAAATACCCAGCGGCCGTTCTTCGCCTTGATGATGTCACGTGCTAGCTGTCCAGCTTCCAGTCCGTTCATTTCCTTGTTCACGTTCCCATGGAAAGCAAAGAGCTGAATACCAGGTTCATCTGAAACAAGTGCGGCCAGTCTGTATGTCCACCCGACCCAATAGTTGCGTCCCACCTCTGACTGCATAATAAGGAATCCAGGTAAAGTTGTCCCTGTGCTTAGCTAATTCAGCACTGGGACATGAGGACGTATATATTCACGTATTCTTGACCTCGGCATTAGATGGCCCCCGGAGGAAAGAGCCCCCGCTACCCATTGGATAGGGAGCTGGGTAGGCCCCAGAACCGGTCTGGACGTCGTGGAGAGAGAATGTTCAGCCAATCGTGGACTTCGTGACACCGTTTCGCGTCTGTATCACTCTGAATCTCGGAGACGACTCCTTTGGGAAATGGCTCTCCGAAGTAACAAACTCTCTGAGCCCAAACTTCCACAAGGAAATAGTGATACTCTGAAGTGAGGACTGAAAAAATGACAAAAATAGCAGAATTTGCTTTATTTCTCTCTTTAATTGGAATCAAGGAGATTATGTGACAAATGTTAAAGAGAATTGTTTCACGGTGACAATAATACTGTGGCGTGCCGCCTAAAAGTTGGAATATCTGAGTAAGAGCGGGCGTCCGTTGCTAGACAACGGCTTGTTAAAACACGTGGCCGGAATGTTTGCGAGACAACGCATACATAACAGACCGTTACCACGGAGATGAAAACCAGGAATAATGCAGTTCCCGCGGCAACGAATACACTAGCAACAGGTGCATCGAACAAACGAAACGGAACCCTTCAACAAGGTGTCTCGTAGGCTGTCCTACTGTAGACTATAAGAGACCAAACAGAACAGAGGAGGGAGCGATACCCCGTGTGGAGGCGGGGTCGAGTACCTCCACCGTGACCCTGCGAGTCGTAGGAGGAGACGAAAAGGGAAGTCTCAAATGTGAGACAGTAATATATGGTCGCGAGTCCCAAGGGACTCGGACCCAAGAAAGACTGCGCTGGAAAGGACCAGCAGCATATACAAAAGACAGACCCATCCTCTCGACTTACTGACTGACTGACTGACTGACTGACCGTCAATCGCAATATGACTTTGACTTTGACTNGTCTCAAACCCGAGAAAGACTGCGCTGGAAAGAACCAGCAGCATATACAAAAGACAGACCCATCCTCTCGACTTACTTACTGACTGACCGTTAGTCGCAATATGGCTTTTACTTTTAGGAGAGAGCAGAGGGCAGAAGAAACCAGCTCAGCTAAGAACCCAGAAGACGACACACTAGCGAGGTGGCATCGTTAGGAAGATATTACTTCTGAGTGATTGCAATTGCAATTGTAAACAACTTATCCAGTAAACAGCTTCGTGTAATCCGGAAACCGTTAATTTCTTGTCGCGTTGCCAGGATGCGTGGCAATACAAAGAGACTTCAACGTAAAAGCGCCGTTATCTCGCTAACGTTGGCCAATCTGTAAGAAGTCCATTCAGCTGCAACTGATCTCACCCAACAGTCTCCGTAAGAACTGTCCTTGAACAGCCGCCAGTCGCTCAGCTACTGAAGAATTTCCCAACATTTTATGGAATTCGAGGGTTCATTGTCGTGTTCACAAGAGCCCTCCACTGGTCCCTATCTTGAGCCAGGTCAATCCAGTCCATTCCACCCCATTTGCATAATTCTGTATAGTTAAGCACTATACTATGAAGGCATACTTGGGGGGGGGGGGGGAGTATAGCTTCACCATCGTGTGCAAAATGAAGATTACAGCAACAGACCATCTCTTCCTTCACACGGGGAATTCCCTCACGCGCTAGATTGTGTTGCTGGCCTTGAAACAGGATCTGCCTCAGGCCTGAGCTGTCTTTCTGAAAACGCAGTTGCTTAATTTCTCGCAGTCTTACGGTCGAAATTCTTAAGAAACGTAACCAGTCATGAAAACAGACTGCAGGTACGGTAAGGGAGCAGCAAACTCGGGACCGTGGGCCAGGAATGGCCTCCAGAAGTTCATTCTGGCCCGTGACCATATTGATAAATTACTACCAATACAATGCCTAACTGGGAGCTCAGTCAGTATAGTGACTAGGCTACGGACTCGTCGAATGAGGGATCGTGTTAAGTTCCAGGCAGGAGGAAGAGATTTGCTCTTCTCCACAGCGTCCAGTTCGGCTCTGGGGCCCTTCCAGCCTCCTATTCACTGGGAACTGGACGTTATTTCCCAAAGGGCACTCGGTTGCCCCCATTTAAGTCCTCGGCGCTGACCGCGAAGGCAACACACCCTTTCCCCCTTTGCATGCGTAACCGTTGCCGCGGGGACGTGTTTACCGAGCCGTTACCCAGAAACGGGGCTAACATAACCGCCCATCTCACGATCATTGAACAGCAGCTGCTGTTGTCTTGTTGTTTATTTCGAAGTATTTGCGTAGCAACGGGTCTGTATGCCACATTGCCCCCCGAACCACGACATTCAGTGTACATACAAGCTACAGGAAGTCATGCTCAGTGTTTCCTGTGTCATGACATTACAAGCGGTGGAAGGATGTGGTCACAGTAGGGTGCCTAGGCACAGTGTAAGTCCGACATGATAACAAGAGTGCTCCTTATCATACGTATTCATCGAGCGCTAACGCTTCTGACTTGTGCTCAGGCGTCATCCGGTTCGAATCTCGGCAGGGAAACCGACTATACTGACTAAACAGCTTTCGCGTGGTTTTCCTCAGTCTTTACAGGAAATATGCCGATACTGTTCTTTAAATTCGGCCACGATAACTTCCTTGAACATGTATTTCAATTCATTGCTCACTGTCGTCTAGTCTTTCGGCTCTTCTGAGAAACTGGCATCGTCGTTAAATAAACACACAGCTGTACAACGTCTTCCACACTCTCTAAGCTTTACTGACCTCAGCCTAACAAGCTACGGGCCAGAATATCTCAAACAAATTAAAACAGTTATCTGAAGGAAAAAAGTTTCCAAACATGTAATCGTGTTCTGAGCCCTTTGGGGTCCACGAGACCTTTTTCTTTTGCCTTCCCATTACATAATTAGAGGAAAGCAACTAGTCACCCATTTTCCTTTCACTACATACTTACTGATACGACACGAACCGCATAGAAAGCACCGCGTCAAACAGTTTGTATATTGTTGCGTGTATATTTCTTGCCAAGGGAACATGTTTATCGAACCATGGCCTAGTAAGGTTAGGTAGTGATTCACAGACAGACACAGTAAGGTGATGTCATAAGCCTCCTCCTATTTTTTTTTTTTCGAAATAAGGAACGTGGGTTAGAAATATTGTACTGAATACGTTCAGCATTTAAAAAAATAGGAGCCGGAATAGCGCAGGCGGTATAGCGACTGCCTACGGGCTGGACGACTGAGGAGTCGGAGTTCGAGTCCCGGTAGGATCAAGAATTTTCTCTTCTCCGTGTTGTTCAGACCGGCTCTGATATCCACCCAGTGTCCCATCCGATTAGTCCCGAGGGCTCATTCCCCGGGGAAGAGCGGCAGGGGCGTGAAGCTGACCACTCACCTCCAACTAGTGTCGATGTCAAGAAAATGTGGACCTACACACCCACTCCTCCATACGCCTTCATGGCGTAGTATTTATACTAGTCACGTAGTGATTTTTTTAATTCGCATAATGGAGGGTGGAGTCCAGTTGGGTCCACTCGGCACGTCGGCCACTGATTGGCCTATTGTACCTGCCCCGTGTGATTCTGATGATGGAGAATTTGGTGGAATGAAGATTTGCAGAGAAAACCGAAGTACTCGGAGAAAGCCTGCCCTAGCGCCACTTTGACCACCACAAATCCCACTTGATCAGACCCGGGCTCGAACCCTGGCCGCCGCGGTGGGTAGCCAGAGACTAACCACTTGAGGTATGGCGCGGCCAGCGTAGTGGTTACTCAGACATTTTTGTGACTGACGACCGGGCTAAGGAACTACACTGTAACAGATGGTAAAGGTAAAGGTAAAGCTGTCCCTGAGCTTATCTAACGAAGCACTACCCCATGAAGACGTATGGGGGAGTGGATGTATAGATCCACATTTTGTTGACCTCGGCACTAGTTGGAGGTGAGTGGTCAGCTTCACGCCCCTGCTGTTTTACCCGCGGGGAAAGAACCCCCGGTACCCATTGGATAGGAGGTTAGGTGGAACCCAGAGCCAGTCTGGGCGACTTGGAGAAGTGAAAAGCATTTGATAAATATGGTACAAGTATTAAAACATTTTAAATAAATTATTCTATTTTGAATGTGTTTTAAGTTGATGTGCAGATCAGCAGATCATTTAAATTTGAATGGGTGGCTGCGTTCTTCAGCTTGCAGTTTCTTACTGGGGGGCAGTCTGCAGATTCCAGAAGTTCAAGAACCACTGCGGAAGGGGGGGGGGCAAGAGACTTAGCAAGGTAGGATGCATTGACACGACAGTAGACCTCCTCGGAAGTGTTCGTGCAGAGGAAATGCTCGAGACTTGTATTCGGAATTCGCTTAGGACTCCGGGTCTTCTGTAGTTCGTGGTTTTCCTCACCGCCTACAGAGCACTGCTGGGCCTCTGTCCTGACGGTTATTTTGCGGAGCTGCGGTGTCAAGACTGTGTGGTGTCGAATTGTGACTGCTACCTATTTCCGGTGATACAGCGCATTAAGATATTTAATCAACGTTACGAAGAAACCTATTGTGTCTATCATCATGCTGCAGACTTCTAGGAGGTGAAACCATGTAGTCTGCCAGATGCTTGTCACCGTTTCGGTAGAACTCGCTGCCGCTATTTTAGGGATGCCCTATACGGCATAATAACCCATAAGACAGTATTTCTCATACCTGGTATGGACACACGCAGGCCCCTTGGCTTCAGTGCCTCGAACTTTGCGTCAGGTACGACGTATTCGCCTCGAGCCAAAGCACAAGCGAAGCCGATAGCCACCAGAACACGCACACGCATCTCCATCTTCCGCTTACTTGTCAGAGACTACCTACCGCTTCTTACTAACTACTGGCCCTACTGGCGTTGGAAGCAAGGTGGTCAGGGACGTCAGGGATGAGGTTCCTAAGGTCATAACTTCATCTACAGGTCCTCCCCTCCACCGTCGCCATTGCTGAAAGGCTAGTTATGCCGAGGGCACGCCAAGGAAGTTGAAAACAGAAACGCAACCGCGATTTCCGAGAAATGTTGTCAATTTTAACCATGCAACTGGTTTCCAGATTAGCAGGCCCACCCTGTTTGATTAATTGCGCACACCATCTTAAGTGGGTATGTGCGTCCGACGTAATGCATGATTGTATTTTTTAATTTCGTGCACTTACCTTCTGCAAGGGAAGATAATACTGATCCTGTCATAATATGGCGGTAGTTGAGACCGGTTGAGACGGCGTGAGAAGACAGGACGACGACCATAAAGGAAATATTGGGATGTTAATTAATTTATTTTAACTAAGGTCAATTTATTTTAATCAGGAAATAACGCGTTCGCACGCGATAGGAAATTTTGACATATGCAACAATTTTAGCAAGATAGAAGACACCTGATGACTGCCATGACCGTGCAGTATGGAAGAAGCTTGACTATACAATAAGCTGTATTTAATTGTTACAATTAATATGTTGTTGGACATTATCCATCATCTTGTCTGTTCTTAAAAACCGTCCTGTTTCTTTAAAAAACACAACGTTTCGGGGACTGGATTCTGTCTCCATCCTCAGGTAAAACCTACTCAGTTGGGTCCAGTAAACAGAGCTAGCCCCTATCTCCGGACGAAGTCTGGTCTTTGTGATGGATTATAGTGTGTTTCCTGTGCAGCAGGGAATTTACTTAGAAATATGAATTTCAGGCTTAAAAGCAAATTCAGAGATGGTCCCAAATTTCCAATTTGCTACTGTGTTCTTCTTGTGCAGCTCTCTCCATACTTCAAATATATAATTATTTATGTTTCGTTATTAAATGCAGCATTACTCTTGGAAACATTAATATTGTGACAGACCCATTGATTCACTGGGTTCATCATATTATTTAAGTTATTTTGTGATTTTTGGTACATTATTAATGTTAAAGTTAATTGTGGCTGCACCATAGCTCAAAGCGGTTAGTCACTGGCTTCCCACCGCGGTGGCCCAGGTTCGATCCCAGGTCTGCTCAAGTGGGATTTGTGATGGAGAAAGTGGCGCTGGGGTAGGTTTTCTCTGAGTACTTCGGTTTCCCTTGCCAATCTTCACTCCACCAAATTCTCCATCATCATAATCACCCGGGGCAATTACAATAGGCCAATCAGTGGCCGCCGTGCCGAGGGGACCCAGTTGGACTCACCCCCCCACTAAGCGAATTAAAAAAAATGTTAATTTTGTGCTGTGAACATGACTGTCTGTTAATTCAGATTCATAAGGTTCAGTCTGCGAGCCACTTTGATGAAGGTTATGTTTGACAGTTGCTGGTGAAATGTAACGTTAATGCTGAAAAATTTGGTATCTATTTTGGATTTGTGTTATTTTGGCAGCCTGACATGCAAAAGATTATGTACTAACAAGAGCTTTGATGTTTCATTTAGAAACTACAGCCTATACTTTGCAGCATATCTCAGTATTTCCTCAGTATTATATGGTGTATTGTATTGTGCTCAGTGAATGTTTTTTCTTGGGTTGCTCTATTGTTACAGTGACTACTGGGAGATGCTTTAAGTACAGTACTTTTATTCTGGTTAGCAGAATTAATATTATCTGGTTTATTGACACTGTACAGGAGGATCGAATTTACAAGTCTGTGTTGTAATAATTTCCTTTTAATGTGTTTTCCTTTCAACTGGACTTTTCTGCAGATCTGGAGCTACTAACCGGCTCTTAAAATCATTTGGACTCCTATAAATATGGGAATAATATGCGGAAACTTAAATATTCTTGCTTACTGTACCTAATTTGTGATATATTAAAGTAACTGGAAAGCTGTCATACACAGTTTTCAAATGTAAGTTGTGAACAGAAGTCATCAGGTTGAATACAAGTATCTGTGATAGAAACATTTTTCATCCACACTTACCCAACTTCATCTGCCCTGAACTCGTATGAATATTTTAAGTTTTTCTGTCTATGATGTAGTTGAGAATAGTCAAGTCCCGTTCAGTAAGGGTATTTTGGACTGATGCAGATAAAATGTTATAGGATATAATTCTTTGCAAGAACTGCTGATAAATATTTACTTGATACTTATGATCGAAATAATATTGGTTAAACAAATTGATATATTTCTAAGAACGGATTTAGTTTCCTTGCAGTTCAAGGGATGAGGGCCGCGAAATTATTCAATGCTGCATAACGTTGTGTAGTGACCCAGTAGACTGGCTTGGTGGCTCGGAGTTGGTATAAGCGGGAGGTGGTAGGATAGTACTTAATCTTCTTACCGATTGAGCTTTTGCGATTGGTTGGCAGTGTTTACGGTATTTACTACCATTCCTTGCCAGGGGGTAGTATCTGTCATAGGGGAAGTGAGAAACAAAGGATTCGCTGCCATCTCTACGCAACCGGACAGAACTAGACAGAACCAATCACAATACAGCTATTGCAATATATCGAATCGCATTTGTGTGACCCAATCACAGTAGATCCATTAAAGGTCTGATCGGTCTGATCGGTCCGATACGGTGTGATATTGTGATGATTGTGATAGATCTTGATTTGTGAGGCAAGTGTGTCCGTGTGTGGTGATATGTAAAATGTGTGTTTTAATCGGTTGATCAAGGTGGAGTGTATTTGATTTTAAGTTGATTCTTTGCCAGTGGCCTTAATTTTTTTTTTAATTCGCTTAGTTGGGGGTGGAGTCCAACTGGGTCCACTCGGCACGGCAACCACTGATTGGCCTATCGTAGCCTGCCCCGGGTGATTATGATGATGGAGAATTTGGTGGAATGAAGATTGGCAAGGGAAACCGAAGTACTCGGAGAAAACCCGCCCCAGCGCCACTTTGTCCATCACAAATTCCACTTGACCAGACCCGGGGTCGAACCCGGGCCGCCGCGGTGGGAAGCCAGCGACTAACCGCTTGAGCTATCTAATTAAGCACAATACCATGAAGACATGGGGATTTGATATATAGATCCACATATTCTTGGCCACAGAGGTAGTTGGAGGTGAGTGGTCAACTTCACCCCCCTCCCCCCTCCAGCTGCTTTACCCCAGATAAACAGCCCACAGTATGCACTGGATAGGTGGCCAGGTGGGCGCCAGAACAGGTATGGACAATGAGAGAATACAGTGTTGCCACTACTGAGACTCGAACTCTGATCCCTCAGCTGTACAGCATAGACCTTAATGTAAACCATGATAATTTATCAAGTCCCCCTAACTTGTCATTGAATTTACATTTAACTGGAGGTTGCTAGCTTTAGCACAGACCTTTCTAGCTTAACTCAGTGATTTCTAGATTTTATCTAACAGTGCCCCCCTCAGCTTGGCAAAGATTTTATTGCAGTTGTCTTTTTAACCTTGTGTTTGTGTGCGTGCAAGCACTTGCGCAAGCAGCAGGTTTTTCAGTTTTCTAATTTTCGAAATCAATACAATATAGGCTGTCACTAATTAATATTTATCAAGATTATAGAAATGTTATGGGGTCTTAAGAATTATATTAATTCGGTTTTACTGCATAACTTTCCCAGTATATCCTGTGTCCCCCAGAACCAACTAGTTACACACCCCACACTTTGTAAGCCATTGTTGTAACTTTTGACTGTTACAGATATTTTGGTAGCATCCTATGGATCAGTACAAAGTTGTTGGTAGAATTGGAGAAGGTGCTCATGGATTGGTTCTCAGAGGACAACACCGTGTCACTGGGAAAGAAGTTGCACTGAAAAAAGTGCTGTTAAAAAAATTGGAAGATGGTATTCCAATTACTGTGATCAGGGAGATAAAGGCATTACAAGAAGTTGATTGTGAATATGTAAGGATTGAAACTTTGTAATGAACCTGTTTTGTATGTGTTTATTGTCCTGTTTCATCAACACTGGATAGCAAGTGGAACTCATCACCTCTTTTCAGTGATGACTTTCATTATTTTCATATCTAATTAGCTGCTGGTAACTGTTTTGGATGGAATATTATTAACACATTTGACCTACATTTGGGTAGTAACCCGGTTCAAATCCTGGCATAACATCTACACACACAAACCACGTAACAACATAAGAAGTCTTAATAGCATGGAAAAACCTACAAGCTACACTATTGACATGCATACAAACTTTACACATAATACACATAATACCCATGCCACAAATGGAATGCCGTGCAACTAAATCCAACAAGAAATGGTCTGAAGCAAATATCTTTTAAATGAATGGATAACACAAGAGAAATAGCATTAAGATATTAATTAATTTTAACTTACTTACTCATGGAGCTGAGCCCTTCTTGAGGAGCCGCCAATTCTGCAGCTACTCAAGAATTTCCCAGCCTTTTATGTAACCCAAAGGTTCATCACTGTGTTCACAAGAGCCCTCCACTGGTCCCTATCCTGAGCCAGATCTATCCAATCCATACCATTCCATGCTATCTCTCTAAGATCCATTCTAATATTGTCCACCCTCCTACGCCTTGGTATTCCCTGTGGTCTCTTTCCTTCTGGCTTTCCCACCAATATCCTATACGCATTCCTCGTCTCCCCCATTCGTGCTACATGACCTGCCCACCTCCTTGACTTGATCATTCTAATTATACTTGGAGAAGAGTACAAGTTATGAATTACCAGATTTCTTGACATTGAATACGCATTTATTTCCCAGGTGGTACAATTATTGGATGTGTTCCCCCAGGGACTTGGTTTTGTCCTTGTGTTTGAATTCATGCCATCAGGGCTGTGGGAGATGTTACGTGATGCTGAGAATCCACTCTCAGTTCCTCAGGTGAAGACTTACATGATCATGCTGCTGAAAGGCGTGAAATATCTGCATGAACACTCAATTATGCACAGGGTGAGGTATTCTATTCTTAGACATCATAGGTTGGTAGCTAGAAGTAAAGAAGTTAGTGCTTTTATCAGGGTCATTTACTTTGAGAACTTAGCCACAGGTACAGAAATTTCAGTTGCTGGGATAGTTATTATTTTTGTTCACATTTTCTCTTTTAGTGTTGGAAAGTAGATATTATATTGTAGCGTGTTTGGCTAGTGAAGACGCCAATTGGATTGGTACTTGGGTTTATTAACCACTTGGTTACACACTCTCTCAATTGCACTTAAATTACAGCACTGTCACTGATTTACATACACCCCTTAATTCACTGTTGCACACACACACTAGTCCTCTCCGGATAACGTATCTCAACGCAGAAATTAGCGCTTCAGATCACTCCAGATATTGCACATAATTAAGGTCTTCAATCACCCTTTAAATCTTCACAGATCTTCTACGAACTTCCCATTGCTGTTACTTAAACACTGAAACACTCTTGAATACTCCAAAATACTGACATTTGTTCTCTCTGTAACTGTCATTATATAGCTTCCGCACTGACCATGCAGAAAACAACTTATATTGTTGGAACATGTTTACTGAGTGATTGCATAGCAACAGCTGTGGCACAGACTCCATAGAGAGCTAGTTACGTGATAGGTACCACTTTTGCATGATGTCAGCCTAGTGAGCATTGTGTAATAACAGGCTGGGTGGGGGTGTGTGACGTCACTCGCGGAAATACAGAGGTCATTTGAGCCCTACTTACTGTTGCACAATCCAAGCATTCAGAGAGCTGTCGCCTAGCAATGCACTGATACAATCCGCATTACTCCCATTACTCACATGCCCTGAGGTCTCTGTGGCTCAACAGTTCCTGCATAGAGCAAATACACCACAATATTGATATTTATAATGCATCAGTGCTGTAATCCATATGTAAACCCTAAGTTATGTGAAAATGTCAGTAGGGGGAATTTGCTAGAAAGGTTACCATGGTTGTGTGTTAGTTTTAGTAACTGTGTAGGTAACATGTTCATTGTATTGAATCCATTATTGACATTATCATTGCTCTTGTCATCACTCTGGCCATCATGTAGCTATTTCTGATGTTGGTAGTTACATTAGTAGAATTTAATTATCATCAGTAAATAATTCTTAGTTCTGACATTTATTGATGTGTCCATCAATTCGTACTACAAAAGTGCTCATGTATTTCACACATATTGCATTTTGAAGTGTTTAATTAGCAGATTTTGTTTTTATAAAACCAGGTAACTAATGGTTGCTTGGTACTGATGTAGGATTTGAAGCCAGCAAACCTGCTAATAAGCAGGGAAGGAGTGCTGAAGATAGCAGATCTGGGGCTTGGACGGATGTTTTCGGCAGAACATGATCGTCCATATTCTCATCAGGTGGCCACTAGATGGTATCGTGCTCCAGAATTATTGTATGGAGCCAGATATTATACAGAAGCTGTTGACCTATGGGCTGTTGGCTGCATCCTAGGCGAGCTCTTGACCAATTCTCCGCTGTTCCCGGTAGGCTTAAATTTGTTTATTACTTCTTTCACTTCTGTTAATATGGGTTGATGTCTCAGTAACAAGACCCAAGCTGCAAAGTACATCATTACATGATGGTACTCAAAATTACATCAAACACTTGGATATATATAAACATTTTTTATCTTATTTTGAATGTGTCATACATGCTCTCTAGAGCCCATATCTGTATATAGGATAAATTATTGAATAGAATTGTTGTGTGTATTGTAATGAATCCTGTATATAAATTAGAAACATGATTCAGACATCGACCAGAGTAGAGCAACAATAGCAGTTATGTTAAAAAAGAATGATGTATTATGATGATGACCAGAAGGATGAAAATTTTGCATTAAGAGAGTATTGTATGTAAGTAACAACAATCCATATATAGTCGTTGTGTAAATGATCAGTTCCTGTACAGGTGTCCCTTGATTCACAAAAGTAATTTCTTCCAAGAAAAACTTTTTGTGAGGTGAAAATTCATAAGTCAGAAATGAAATTCCTATTACTTTACATGTAAACATCACAAACTTATGAACATTAGTTGTTTGCTGTAGCGAAAATGAAATTCATTAAGTGAAAAATAGGTACAAACTAACATGTTTCATTATAGTGAAAATTCATAAGTCAGATGTTCATAAAATGAGGGACACATGTATTTTCTAATTAAAAATGATGATAAGGTGCAGTATTTATAGTTTAAATACTGACAGCATTGTAAAATAACAAAAATCTATAACCAGTTTTTTATTTATAATATTTTGTGAATATTCATGTGCTGATCAGTGTTCCAACATCCTGTTTGTTGTTTGCAGGGAGAGACTGACATAGAGCAATTAGCAATTGTGTTACGAACACTGGGCACGCCGACTACAGAAACATGGCCTGGAGTGACAGAGTTACCAGATTATAACAAAATAACATTTCCAGAAACACAAGGAATGAGTTGGGACCAAATTTTTCCAGACTGTACACCAGAAGCCAGAGATCTGACAAGGAAGTTTTTGGTGTACAATGCTGACAGAAGATTGAAAGCTAAGGAGGTATGGTGTATGTTTCATTGATATGAAGAAAGTGTATTACCCTTTCAGTGTTATTTTTTGATGTGACTGGTAGATTTAGATGCTTCTTTGCTGTCATTTTAATCTTAACATTATATAGATGCAGCATGTACCTCTGAAATGTTGGCAGCCTTGCCCACATTCACATGGTGTAAACATCAAAGACCTCAATTAATATCAAGGTACTGTAAATTCAGTAAGATAAATACATAGGACAGTAGAGTGTGGATTGGATTTATTTGATACACTGAATGGGCTTTTGTCAGGATCTTGTGAACATGGTGATGAACGTTTGGTGTCATCAAAGGTGTGGAATTTCTCGGTCATCTGCATGACTATCAGCTTAAGACAGGCTCTGTTTCTTGAAGTTATACAAAGCTTGTGATCATGGACTTCACCTGTTGAGGTTGTTGACATGCATTACTTAGTGTGAAATAAGGTAAGAAGATGATTAGGACAGGGAGGCAAAGGTTAAACTTAAAAGAACCCTGCAACCAGGAGGAGGAGGACTGGAAACGATGCAAGTAGGTGTGGGAGCTTCCCACAGTGAAGCAAGCACTACCCAATCAGCATTCACCATGGCAGNTTGAAGTTATACAAGGCTTGTGATCATGGAATTCACCTGTCGAGGTTGTTGACATGCATTACTTAGTGTGAAATAAGGTAAGATGATTAGGACAGGGAGGTATAGGTTAAACTTAAAAGGACCCTGTAGCCAGGAGGAGGAGGAGGACTGGAAACAATGCAAGTAGGTGTGGGAGCCTCCCACAGTGAAGCAAGCACTACCCAATCAGCATTCACCATGGCAGTTCCAATGCCCATCGTTTCACACACTTCCTAGTGACAAAAGTATAAAGATGTGGACGTCTGACACGCTTGCATCAACCGCAGCTACAGTTACATCGAGAGAATACCACAACAGCAAGTCTGTAAAGTGTTTGTGTGTTCATTGTGTGGTGATGTAATTCACTTCTGTCCTTTGCTTGCAGGCATTAATTCATCCTTATTTCTTCACACCTCCACTACCGTGTCAGCTCTCAGACATGCCTAAGCCCCTTGATGGTCACAGACAGCACTTCAGAGCAAAGGAATATGACACAGAGAAACCTATGGAAGAATTATTTAGTGATTTAAAGAAGCTGTTGATGTCTTGAAATCTTATTGGAAGCTCCATATTATGACATTTATGTTAGAATTGACTGGATGTTCCTCAAGAATGTTGTTTGCTAGTATTTATACTGTAACTGATCTTCAGCGGAACATTTCTTCCATCTTCAGGATTAAAGATTATGACAAGCAAGAAATCAGCGTGAAGCAGACAGCAGGCAGAGCAAACTGTGTGTGAAAGAACATGGAATTATGTAACAGAGGGAACATGCAAGCCAACCCATCAGTTCCCATGACCACATGTCCTTATATGTTGGAAGACTGAGCTCTTTGTAGTCACTGCTGTGCGAACCTGAAATACTGTTGCTGAGGAACACTTTTTGCCTATATTTAAGAGTTAGTTAAATGTGCTGGAATCAACTGCTATATTTGTTTATGGTGTGAGCCATATGAGATTCTTTCAGAATTTTTTAATTCAGCTGACAGCCAGATGTGTTATAACTTAGCATGAACACCACAGGCAGAGATGTACAGCATGCCTGTGAAAACACTAAAGTGAGATGGCATGTTTGAATTTCCTTCATGTATGTTTTTTGTATGGAGTTTCAGGGTTATATGTGTGAAGATGGTTACATGACTACTTCTGTTCAAACTTAATGACATTTTTAAACCAACAAGGAAAGTAAATCATACTGAATGTTACAAACCAAATGATAATGCAGTTGGAAAGGGGGGTCTTTATTGTTTGCATCCTATGATATGGTTCTTTTGGCCGTCAACATGACAATTAATCATAAATTAAACCAATCTAATATCACTCATGTTACAGTGGTTTTATTTAGTGACTGCTACATGTTTCAATCCATATTTGAATCATCATCAGGCGATACGTCAGTCATTATTGAGTTGTCCTAATAGGAATCCATATTAGTGTTAATTGTTAAAATCATTATTATACTTGTATTTTTGACTAAAATTTTTAACATTGAAAATGTTAATTTACGTGGGTACACATGGAATGAAACGGTTAATAACAGAATTTGTAACGTAACGAAATCTGTAACAGTTTGTAATTATTAGTACATTTCTAGGCAACGGCAATTCAACATGTTACCACATAAATGAATCAACACGGAACAATAGAGGAACTGGAAAAACCATGGAAATGATGTTTTCTATGTGGTTAATGCTGGAACCTTGTAAATATGAGTGAAATACGGCAATAAATGCAAGGCATACGGCTAATTCAGTTCAACTCTTTAGTGTATGATGCAATGCTATAGGCAAGCTGGCAGCATGTGACATCATGCACTTAAGATGTCCGCTGGTAAGAGTTGTGCTGCATATATGAGAGTATAAAAGGAAATGAAGTGGTAAAAAGAACTCTGGCGTTTAGTGTTGTACCAGAAACTGATATGGTTGGCATCCCTTAGTGCTGTGTTAGGTTGCTATGTTTTGTAAGAGACAGATAATGTAGTGTGAAGGGTGGATGATCATGGTGCAATATGTATTTCTACATATAATGTGTTCACTGAACATGTGTTTAAACTCATAAATATGTACCATCACTCAAATTTTAATATTTGCATTAATGCTGTACTGTGTTATGTTTCATGGACATTCATATGAGATTGAATTGTATGAAGGCGTGTATATTATGATTTATTGATTACACATGTTTCTTTCAATTTAGTATTCATTGTAATCGGTGGGGCTGCCAAGTTTTCAGTATTAGGATATGTTTGTTATTGATCTTACAAAGAATTTACATTGAGATGCTGGTACTTCAGATTCACATCAGTGAATGATCCCAGCATGCTGGCCTCACTGCTTAGCTTGTACCAGTATCTTTTCTCAGTCTGTGAAAAGTCAATTTGGAACTTGTGGAAGAGGAAGAAAGGGGAAACTGACAAACAGTACACAATGGGTCACCTAAAAAATTTAAGAGAATCTTAAAAAAATATCTGGTTTCTCATTGTTTTTATAATTTCAAGAAATTTTATGATACTAATTTTTAACGGTTTTGTAATCTTTTTGGTCTGTATGAAATATTATGTATATATGATCTTTTGCCTTTTATGTTTGACTTTTTCCTGCATTAATTATAACATGTTACTTTGCATAGTTGTGAAATTTTTGTTAGACAATGTGCCCTGTTGCACAGCTGATCTCTTATATTTTTCTGTCGTGTATTGCATAAGTACAATTTTTGTAAGGCTGACTGTATATATTTATTGATGATAACTACATCCGCTGAAATTGTAATTTCTTATGGATCTATGGTGGACCAATAAATACAATACAATACAATACAATGAGGAGTTTTCGTTATTTGTACTTTTCACTATATGCTATGGGAGTGATCATAATAAGAAATATGATGTTGGTGAGGTATATCATGAAATGAGAGAGGTGTACAAAATTTTGACTGGAAACCTAAAGGGAAGAGACATATAGGAGAGTAAGTGTAGGTGGGAGGATGACATTAAAGTGGAATTGATTCGTGGAACCTGGTAATGAATGAATGTGTTCCTATGAGATGGGAGATTTCTTAAATAGCTGATAATTTCCTTCTTGAGAAGGGCTGTGTGTAGCCCAATTGACATCGGTGAGTAGCCGACTTAAGATTTTTCTTTTAGTTTAGTATAGTGACATCATATTGTTTCCCCCACCCGGTAGGGTTGTATAGGTATTCTTGACGTTCTTGACGACCGTCGTCTCGGTGCTGGCGGTGGCCATTTTGTACCAATAGACTTTCCGATGCGTAGAGATGGCAGCACTGATGCATGTGGGACCTGTGTACGTGACATCACGATGGCTGGGCGAATGGGAATCGCCTAGGCGTTTTTGTATTACAATAATATTATTATACAATTAAAAAAAAATTGCTTCCAACATAATTAAGATGTCACGGAGTGATGCTGACAGTGTCAGGCGGCACAATTGACGAAAGCTGTGAAATCGCAGGAGCGTGGTTTGATTGATCATTAGCATTTTTAGGGTTAGGGAACAGCGCAATTAGTAACGAAGAAATATTGAGTGTGTAAAACCAGTGGGCGTTTATGTAGGTCTGATGTAACTAATGTTGAATGCTAGTTACCTCGCTTGCTCATAAGTATGTAGATAAAATATCTCATAGTGTACTTTCCCTTTGAAAACATTGGAAGGTTTGGAAGTGTGTAGAGTTAAAATAAACCCGCGATTGTTTTGTTGAGAGGAATCGAATTCAGAACGAAGAATCAAAATGATGATGCAGTATATGAAGGAATTAGAACAGGTGAAGTAAAGCGCTCTGTAGCATTCTAGCGGCCTTGTATTACATTTAGTCTTAATGCAAATAAACGGATGTTGCCAAAGTTATTTAATATGAATAGTAACGACAATTTGACATTAAGTAACACACCATACTTACATAGTTCTGACTTTGTGAAGATTATTATTTATACTTGTGGTTATAACAAATGCTTTGTTCTTCATGACTATGTGGACATGTCAACACTTAGAACCGCATTTATTTTATTAATGCTGCTGTTACCAGTTTTCTGTTTGTAACAGCTGCAGTATATTTGTTGTTGCCTCTCAAATTTCGTTTGCATTGAAAAGTGTAAGTATAACTGTCATACTGAATACAAACTTTTCCATGTGACATCATGCTGAATGACTGTTCTGCATCTTGTAGCACACCATATCATGTACTGTTGAAAGTTTTATTCATATTCTTGCATTAACTGAGCTAGTGTTAGTTTCTTAGGAATGACTCAGTTCCATAAAGTTATTCTTTGTTATGCTTTCATTCACATATCTTTTGAACATGTGTTAGGATTCACAGAAGAATTTAACAGATAGCATTTTCAGAAACAATGATTGACAAATTGTTCTAGAAGACTGGAGGGTGTAACAGAAATATTAAGACAGCATCACTTTAACAGAGGAACCAGTACAAACTGACGAAACAGATGGACGAAGACTCCTTTTATTCTTTGTACCATACTTTGTAAACTGTCATTGTGTTAATATTTGTATCAGTTGCAAGTATCTTGGTTTATTTGGACTTGGGTTAGCTGCACCAGAGTGCTACAGAACATTGTCAGTATGTTGAAATTTACATGATTCAAAATGGTGGCATATCTGTAACTAATGATAGTCTCCATGGTACATGTGGCCATGCTGCATGAAATTTATTGAGTGATGTGCACTGAATTGTGTTGTAATGTTTCACCAATTTGTATGGTCTCCTTGGGATTTACAGCATGTTTCAGCTCCAAGAGAAACTATAAATTAAATGTGATATTGGTTTCAAGATTCAGCTTTTGCAGGAAGCCCAGAATAAACCGGTCTGTTGGAAGAACTTGTTTGTCATCATCTATTTAAAAAAAACTCCATGGTTTTAGTCCGCAAGCGATTTAAATTACCCTTATTGCAACTTGTCAAGTTTTTTGTAATGTTGCTCAGTGCATCTTCTGACCTTCATATACATGTACTATCATGTTCTTCATTTTGTGACAGGGCAGAAAAATGTAGTTTAATTAATTCATATTGTTTGTGTTTTATATATTAGGCCTGAATAAAACCCTAATTTTGCAAGATGTTTGGCAGTAAATGGTGTTAACTGAATATGTGGTTGAATATAAACGAATTTCTACCTCTCATCATTTTTGTTTGCATTTTTGATTAGGAACCATTTGATCCAGAGGAATTTGTAGAACGCCTTGCTTGGAGAACAGTTGCAGACAGCAGAGGTGAGGGAACAGGACATTTTGATCCTGTTTTGCTTCATGAGACATTTCTTCAGGCCATCAAGTGAGTGTTACTGATAATCGTTTTCTCTTGTGCATTTTGTGCGTGTGCTTATAGATCTAGAACTAGGATAACTTGATTGGCACAGCAACAGACTACAGGATGGATAGCTGAGGAATTGGGCTTTGATTCCTGACAGAGGGAAAAGATTTTTCTCTTCTCCACAATGTTCATACTAGCTTTGAGGCCCTCCTATCCAATCTATACCACAGGCTTTTTCCTCAAGTGTGAAGTGGCACAGGGCATGGTGGAGCTGTACCTCTACTCCACCACGCATCTGCATGGTGTGGTGCTTCATTAATTAACTTTTTTAAGTTTCTTGATTGCTAGAAGAATTCTTCATCTTAGGGGGTAAATTATTAGCACATTCATAACTTTTCATTGTTGCTCAGTTGTGTTAAACATATAACTTTTTAAATTGGGAACTGTTTATGCAGACCTTTTTAGTAATTACACATAGACTAGTGATTGCGTGATGAATATTTTTGTCTTTCCATTTTTACAGACTACACCTACAAGGTGTGTGTGCCCACTGGCCATAACTTAATCACTTCTGCTTGACTGTAACATCTCATTGCCATATATGACCCATGAAAGGAAGAATTAGCTATTAGGACTGAAATGACAGACATAGTCAGTATGCAGGCAAAAGATTAGTGTGACAGACATTATCGTAACACCAGCTGCATGTATTATTGTTATTGTTATTATTGGAGGGGGTGGGTTTCCCCATGCACTGCGACTATTTGTTAATCTATTGTGTGTCCTTTTTTTAATTTCTACTGTCACCATGCCCTTCCAGTACTGGTGCTCGCTATCAGCCTCGTTCTGCTAGGGAGGTCAGCCCTCTCTGGCAGTGGTCCCCGATACTTTCCCATCTACCGGAGGAACTGGAAACTACTTGGGTGGGAAACTTTGCCTAATTTTGCTCAGAGGTCTCCGAGAGACATCGAGGATCTTTTACGTGCCGTAAATCTACGACATGGGACACACAGCTTAAAGTCCCTCCCGGAGGACTTGTTCCCTCAATTTTTCCGCCCTTAAAAATTCCACAACCTCCGCTGGGTTTGAACCCGTGTACCTTGAGTCATGAGGTGGGAACGTTACCCCTAGACTACGGAGGCCGCTTCCGCTGCATGTAACTGTACCCCATGATGGAGAGTATCTTCATAGCCATTTCAAAAGGTTATGCACAGAAAATTTTACCTCTTTTGTTTTTTTTCTTTAACAGGAACTTCTACTTTATACTAAAGTGTCATATTGAGGTCTGATTAAATATTGCATTAGTTTGGTGGCGTGCGGTAGTGTAGTTGGTTGAGGCACTGTGCTACAAGCTGGAAGGTAGTGGGTTTGAATCCTGATGAGGTCATTGGATTTTTCAGTTGACCTAACCCTTCCAGCCACACAATGATCCTGGGGTCAACTCAGCCCCTAACAGAAATGGGTACCAGGAATCTTCCTTTGGGGGCAAAAGGCAGCCAGTGCATAAGGCTGACAACCTCAGTGCCATCTGTGAGCCTGTTGTCTAGAAACTATGGGAACCTCAATGTCTCACAAACCTATGGGCCTTTACAGCCCATTACAGGGATAGCTTTAGGTTAGTTGGAAACATTAACGTATTGTCATGTATATTGGTGACCTGTAGATGGGTTTTGGATTGGTGATTTGATTTATTGGATGCTCACAAGTCATAAGTACAAGTAATTATAAAACTCAAGACTACTATAACACATAAATAAAGCCTTCAAAATCTGCTTACACTAATCATTGCTAGGTAACAGATCTCAGCGATGGCAAGGCGTTTACAATGTTTTCACTGTCTATGTCCTGACAGCAGATTTTAGCACAGGAGCTATCACTTCAGATCACTAGAAGGCTTCTTGCCATTTCTTGTTCAATCACCAGTGAATCACCCTCCAGAACTTGACCTAATTCTCCAATCTCTTGACACTGTTGTTCCTTCCAACTGGTTTCCTTATATAGATGTGGCACAGACCTACAGAAAACACGTGTCACGTGTCAGAACGCGTGGCATGGACCACATAGAAAACACAGCCTCTGTTGTTGAAACACCTCTGTTGGGGTTCCCACACGATCGCTACCCAGTCAGTTCATTGACACACTGACTGCTGCCAAGCAACAGTCCCATACTGTTATGCGTTTAATTAGGAAGGTGTTTTGCGCCATTGCCTGGCTATACACATTACAGTAGGTGCGATGGAATAATTCAGATTAATACAAATTGCAAAGTATATGATGAAATTTTGTGAGCCTCAGATATTCATTAGAATTTGATTCTGTTAGACAGGATAAGTGGGATTTTTTTTTCAGGTTTATTAACTATAGATTCATGTTGAAAATTTTAAAATGTGGTCTTCATAGAATATTGAATGCTGAACTGAAAGTTCTCCAAACAAAATTATGGTATGGCCATATTGCACACCAACATCTTCCCATATTTTAAAGTGAAGGCTTTCATCGCAAATAATTTAGTGCCTTAGTCCTAGGTTTACTTTGTGTTTTCTGTTAAAGTGTACCACATTTCGCTGCCTGCTACTGTGAAATATTCTCAGACCTTCAGATTGTATCTTGTGATCTTGTTTCTTAGTGATGCATTGGATAAGAATCATTGTGGAGTTACTGTTGTTATTTCTCAAAAGGGATCTGCAACTTCTGCAAGAACGTCAGCAAAAGAAATGTGAGCGCCTGGAGATGATGTGTCGGGAAGAAGAGAATGGACACTGGCAACAGATTTCCCAGCTGCAAGACAGGAATAAGGTATTGTATATGAAGGTTATTTGGAAAGTAAGAGGTACAAAGTCCAGAAAATATTTGTAAAGCATTTTTTATTCACTTGTAGCACTTTTACAACACATTTTTATTTACCTTTCACCATAATCACCATGGATCGCAATGCACTTAGTGAGCCTGAGGATGAGTTTTTTTTTATTCCAGTGTTGTAGAAACCACCCACCTGCTCTCTTAGCCATGGCATCTCTGCATCATAATCATCCGAAAAAGTCTTTCCAGCCAGATTTTTCCTTCGATTTAGAAAAGAAGTGGTACGTGCTGTGTGCAAGGTCTGGACTGTGTGGTGGAGTGGCCAATACTTGCCACTTGAAGGACTGCAACAACTCTTGTGTGGTGCGAGCAGTGTGCAGATGGGCGTTATCCTGCATTAAGCAGACTTCTTGTATAAGCATTCCTCCGCTTATTTTGAATAGCCCGACACAGATTCTTCAGCGTCTCACAGTAAGCAGCAGCAGCATCGATGGTGTCTCCTCAAGGCAATCAATTGATGAGAAGTAGCCCCATCCAGTCCCAGAAGATGGTTACCATGATTTTTCAGTTTTAATGGTGAGGTTTTGAATTTTCTTGCTGTTGGTGAGTGTGTGTGGCACCATTGCATTCATTGTTGCTTATTCTCAGGTGTGTGATGAGATACCCAAGTTTCATCTCAACATACAGAAAGTCATCACCTTGATCGCCATAACACGCGAGGAATGCCTGTGCTGCAGCCACTCATTTTTTTCTTGTGATTATATGTCAACATTTTCGGCACCCAATGTGAACACAGTTTCTGATAGCCTAATCTTTTTGCAACAGTTTCATGGACAACAGTTTTTGACACCTCTGGACACTGTTGATGAAGTTCATCAATGGTTAAATGTCTGTCAGCGTGAATGTTTTTATCAGTTTTTTAGATTATTTCATCAGTGACAATGGATGGCCTTCCACTCCATATTTCATCGTGAAGATCATTTCTTCTTGCTTCAAATTCATGACACCATTTTGCTATGTTTTGCTTGTTCATAACATCTTCGCCGTAAGCAGAAACAAGTTCGCGATGAATTTCAGCAGCAGTCTCTCCTATCGCGTGAAGAAATTGAATTACTGCACAAACCTCACATTTGACGGGATTTTGAACTGACCTCGTTATTTTAAACACACACACTGCAAGCGCAGCGTTGCCATGACTGTGGCCAGTGAACTCTGCCTGTCATAAGAAATAAGATTTTTACGAAATATATAATTTTGTCTGTTCTGTATGGGTGCGAAACTTGGTCTCTGACATTAAGGGAGGAACACAGACTTAGGGTGTTTGAGAACTGGTTGCTGAGGAGAATATTTGGATCGAAGAGAGGTGAAGTGATGGGAGGTTGGAGAAAAGTAAATAATGAGGAGCTTTGTCACTTGTACTCTTTGCCAAGTATAATTAGAACGATCAAGTGAAGGAGAATTAGATGGGCAGGGTATATAGCACGAATGGGGGAGAAGAGGAATGCATATAGGATATTGGTGGGAAAGCCAGAAGAAAAGAGACCACTAGGAAGACCAGGACGTAGGTGGGTGGACGATATTAAAATGGATCATAGAGAGAGAGGATGGGATGATATGGACTGGATCAATCTGGCTCAGGATAGAGACCAGTGGAGGGCTCTTGTCTACACGGTAATGAACCTTTGGGTTGCATAAAATGCTGGAAAGTTCTCAAGTAGATGCATAATTGGCGGCTTCTCAAGAAGGGGTCAGTTCCATGAAGTTAGTTTAGTTTAGTGTACAAGGGGCATAAATATTCATTGCATGGTAAGTACTTCAAATCGTGCCATAGCTCAAGCGGTTAGTCGCTGACTTCCGACCGCGGCAGCCCGGGTTCGATCCTGGGTCTGGTCAAGTGGGATTTGTGGTGGACAAAGTGGCGCTGGGGCAAGTTTTCTCCAAGTACTTCGGTCTCCCCTGCAATCTTCATTCCACCAGTTGCTCCACAATCACCCTCACCTATCATCTGGGGCTGGTACAATAGGCCAGAAGTGGCCGCAGTACAAGGGACGTAGTCCCACCCCACTAGCAATAAAGAAAAGTACCTCAAATTCTCACTGGCATTAAAATAGTTATGAATCTTGTAATTATGTTGTAAAATGTATACTGAAGATTCATTGAACATCTTCAAAGTGTAATTCCTTGAAATGCTCCTTTCTGATATGGTATTTAGCTGGACTCTTATTTAGTCAAGTTTTATCATCATCAGATCTTGAACCATCTACAAATCAGCTACAGATTTTAATACTCTATTCCCAGGCATCAGTGAAAATGTTTCAAGAGCTAGATGAGAGAATTAATTATGTGGCTACGAAAGTAATTCACTTGGGTGACCAGTTGGAAAGTGTTAACACACCTCGAGCCCGGGCAGTTGAGGCACAGAAGCTGATGAATCATTTTGCAGAATTTCTGAGCCCTGGGCCATTGCTTGCTGAAGTTTTTACTGATAAAACTCAGGTAACTCCAAATAGTGATTACATTATACCTTAACAGTTTCATAAGTGGCTTTGTTTCTAAACATCTCACAGTTAAAAATAAGATTTTGGGGCATATTTTAAAATGAGTCAACATGCCTCTACCTATCACAACTGTTTGTATCTCTGCATGATGTTTCTCAGAGTTTATGGTGAAGGAATTTGTATGTTCGAGTGCACATTTCCCATGTCTGTAATACTATGTAATACAATAAGATAAACAAAAAATACATTTTAGTTAAATATTGATATTTTTGGTTTGTGGAGGGATAATGTGAAGTATTTGTTGGTAGACTCTTTGAAGTAGTAGTTTAAAATGTAGATTGAAGTTGGAATCTGCTGCTGTAATTATCTCTCTGAAATGTTTTGTAGGAGAGGTGTGGGGAATTTTTTAATTCAGCCAACAACTAGGTCTTCTAAACAGGAGACAGCATACTTAGAACCCAAGATTGTAACACTAAGGATATAACATCATAAAACACATATAAAACATGTTAGCTGATACAATATTATCCAGCTTTTACCATGTTGGTGTCCCAGGAGATCATGAAATAATTTATGTTGACAGTGGATTTTAAGAATGTATACTCTTAACTTTGGCAAAATTAAAAGTCTTCAGAAATTTTTCTAGTTTCTGTTAGGCATGCTGTCCCCCCCCCTTTTTGACTGTTTGATAATTTTGTGCAGCTGAGGTGGGGGCTTTGCATGCAGTTAACAACTATTCACTTTCAAATGTTCTGTTTTACCAAACATTATGAAGATCTCAGACCGAGATGGTTTCTCTGGAATGACATAGGTGATGCATAAAGGATGTGAAAATTGAATTTTTGCAGGCAACTTGGTATTGTGTATATATCTACTTTTTCTGGAAATGACTTTACTTAATGAATCACAATAATGAGTAAAGTGATTGGCTGTGGGCAGAATAATTAAGGTTCAGTTTCCAACAGGGACTTTACCACAATGTCCAGATCAGCTCTGGTGATAATCAGGTCTATTTCCTAGTGGGTATTACAATATTTCTTTATTTGAACTGCCCTTATACCCATTATGACATGGTTCTTAGTTACTTGAACAAGTGTACCTCTCTGCCTTAGCTGTTATGTACTGATCTGTATTTGTGAGTGCTCAGAAATTTGTATATTGAACCAGAAACAATTCACAACCCACAGGTTGGAGAATCCTTATGTGAAGGAAAACATGACATGACTGTTCCATTCGCTGAGCTTATGTATAGCATTTTAACTCTAAGCTCTTTCTTTGTTTGTTACAGATAGATGAAGCAGCTGATATCATACAGAAGTTACATTTGATTGCTCAGGAATTACCTTCAGGAAAGTATGTGTTCAGGCAAACTGTAGTTCCATGTCGTGTTGTAGGTATAAAAATATGGTATGAAGCAGTAATTCATTTTTGCAGATTTGAAAAGGCGAAAAAGAAAATAGCAACTAAGTACGATGAAATTGAAAGATCTCTGATTGAGGAGTTTGTGAAAGCTCATCGCTCAGATGACAAAGGAAGGATGAAAGAAGTTGCGACTGTTCTCTCTCATTTCAAGGGTTATCCACAATGTGTAGATGCATTCATTGAACAAAGCCAGATGGTAAGATGATTTACTAACCAAAATTTTGTATCCATTTATTTGCCGTACATATCTCATATTGCACTCATCTTATTCATGCTGATTTGATTGTCATAATATTTGGTGAAGAATCAAGGTTATGGAGCTCTTAATTGTGTAATTTTCTGTCATCCTCGCTCATAGATTCAAATATTCTTTTTGGCAGTCTCTTCACAAACATCCTCAATCTGTGTTGTTCCTGCAGGGTAGGAGGCTGAGTTTCATACCATGTAAAACAACAGGAGGAATCCATATAAAGAAAACTATACTCATCCAGTAGTCCAAAATTTTAAAGAAAAATTTACCGTTTTTCACATCCCCCATCCATCATATCTCCATGATTTATATACCTTAAAATTATTAGATGTTGGATACAGGCTGTAAAGCATGTGATTCTCTCCAGCTCATAAGTTCCTGGATTTTGCTGAGGGGCCTGTTTTAATGAGTGCCAGCTTTACTCTGTCATTGCTCTGGCAGTTGTCATGTCATGTTTGTGGGCACAGTATGGCATAATGTAGCATGCTCGTACAGCTCCTATAGATTGTACATATTACAATAGGACCACTTCTCACCATATGGTTAGATATAATCTTTCCAGAGACTTCTGATGTTTTAACAGTCTGTTCACATGTATTAAATAGGTATTAGCATTTTATTGCAATCTTGAAATAACAGCATATAAGTATAACAATATTAGTAAAATTTAGAATGTGTCCGCGAAGAATTACTAGGTATTTTGTACTTTGTCTGTCATCCGGTATTCTACAAAACTATAGAACACAGCATTTTGGAAACTAGATCTGTTTCTAGCCTCAGGTGATGGAGGACACCTTCCCTGTTGGGTCCCACGGAAAGAGCTAACCTCAGGAACCCAAGAGAACAGGTTTACCTCAAGCCCTCACCTGACGACGGAAACAGATCAGATTTTTAAAGACTGTATTCTCTACTTTTTTAGAATTTTGGACGGTGGACAAAGCCCCAAAACCCAGTAATTCTTATTGTTACCATTATCAGAACCAATATTATACACACGTAGTACAGACAAGCAGCGGCATTCACACAAGAAGACTACATTAAATAACACCTGTACAGTGTGAAAACAAGAACTAGCCGCTCCAGCACTTAGACATAGGGCGAGTAACCCTAAGAATTTTAAATTTAAAATTTAGAGAAAATTTTAAAAGATTTTAAAAACATCATAACTAAAGATTTTTAGAGTGCTACTACAAGAATATCGGGTTTGACGTGTGCAACATAATCTACATGCCAGACACATATCAACAATGTAGANATTATCAGAACCCTTTAGAATCTGCTTGTGTCCACAGAGTTTGTAGTATACAAAAGTGTTATTTATTAAGTGATTGATAAAGCATGCCTGTTTAGTAATGTGGCGTAATATTTTATCGTTTTTCTCTGTTACAGAGTGCATTTACAGGGAAAGATGTCTTCCGAGATGTCATTCCTTTGTGTGAAAAAAATTTTACTGTGATGACTGAGGTATTCAGTAATCCAGACCAAGTGATGGCAAAGTTTGTCCTTAATATCTATCATTTGAAACTGCAGGTATGTCTCTGTGTACACTCACAGTTTAAGAATGACCCATCTTATTTTGTGTGTATGTTCAGCACTGTGGCAATTTAATGTTGCTTTCTCAGCTGTATTGGTTATGTAGCATTGAATGCAAGGGTGACTGCATTATGAATTTGGAAGGATATGGAAGGGAACATTCATGGCCTATTTTAAGAGACTGTCCCTGCATTTACGTGGAGGAGCAGAGGTCAGCAGAACAGATAAGGATAGCCAGCTTCTCACACTAATATTGAACTTGGGACCTCCCAGATACAAGGCAGGAGTGCCATCCACTCAGGCACAAGTATTCTCTCAGTTATGATTTGAGGTAACAAGTATGAAATTTTGTGGGGATATTATATGTGCTTGATTGCAAGTGCCTTCTCTTTACCACAATTTGTAGGGATAAGATATACAGGGTGTCACAAAAGGTCTGACACATCTTGATCTTTAATAATTTGGAAAATAACGAAGATAGAAATAAACTGGTTACATTGTTGGATTGAGAAACTCAAAAAGTTTTGTGTCTATTGTTAATAAAGTTGTACATGTGCTCCATTTGTTTCACGAAAAATATCAATGAATCTTATTTAAGTAACATATATTAGAACAGTAATACATAAAAGTGATGTGAATACAGTATCCTCAGATTGGCTTAATGTTAGACAGGGAGTGCCCCAAGGGTCTGTATTAGGACCTTTGTTGTTTCTCTTATATATAAATGACTTGCCTAAAATATTAAATTTTCTACACCTGTAATTTTTGCTGATGATACTAGCATCTTATTTTCACATTCTAATATAAATTCTCTTAACAGGAATATTCTTATAACAATTGAAATCTTAAATGGATGGTTTAGGGCTAATAAATTATCTTTAAACTTCAACAAGACAAATTGTATTCAATTTAAAACTAAGGCAGTAATGTCAGATACTTTTGCAATAAATCATAATAATAAGTTTATCGGCAGTACCCTCAGTACTGCATTCTTGCGAGTTACAATTGACAGCGCCTTAACGTGGAAGAATCACATTGATTTACTTGTAAAAAAATTAAGGAAGGCTTGTTACGTAATTATAAATATGAAATATTATATGCCTATTTCAGATCTAAACGTAATCTGTTATTCCTCTTTTCACTCCTTAATGAGTTATGGTATCATCTTTTGGGGAAACTCATCTCAAAGTTCTGCTATTTCTCTTCTCCAAACAAAGGCTATCAGAGCGATGTTGGGATATAGCAGTAGTTTTGTGTAGAAACATATTTAAAGAGTTAAATATTTTATCATTTGCATTAAGCTATATGTTTTTGTTGTTAGTATTTGTATTGCAAAATAAAGTTCTTATTCCATCAAACATTGATTTTCATACTATTGATATTAGACAATGACAAAATTTGTATCTACCTCAAGCTAATGTAACTATTTATCAAAAAGGAGTTTATTATGCGAGTATAAAAATATTTAATAAATTGCCCATAGTGATCAAGAACACATCTGATAATTTTAAAAAGGTTTAAGGTTGTATTAAGGCATTTCTTGAACACTCATATGTTTTATACTGTGGATGAATATCTAAATAGATAACTTTTATTATTATTGTATTCATTGTACTGTCTAGTTTTGTAATAACTATGTATGTATTCTATACTCTAAATTATTTTATGACATGTTCTGTATCCATCTATGGATCTCTTGAACTTACAATAAATACAGTACAATACAATACACNTCAGGCATTTCTTGAACACTCATATGTTTTATACTGTGGATGAATATCTAAATAGATAACTTTTATTATTGCTGTATTCATTGTACCGTCTAGTTGTGTAATAACTATGTATGTATTCTATACTCTAAATTATTTTATGACATGTTCTGTATCCATCTATGGATCTCTTGAACTTACAATAAATACAGTACAATACAATACACTATTATTTATTTAACAGTGAAATGTTTTTTATGTCATAGAGGATGCAGTGCATTCTTATGAAACAGGTAACAAGTAACAATAAATAATACTGGTTTTAGAGACCAAATCTGTGAGTGAAATGATAACTTTATATACAAATGTTAATCGTTATTTTTTCTAACTTTAGTCCTGGGGGTTGAAAAGTTATGCCAGTTGTAGTTGCCATTTCACTGCCATCAGAAAAAAAACTATATCTTGTTGCTGTCATTATTTTTAACATATTGTGACATGTTGAGCTATGGATTACCCCTACCTCCCCAGCGGTACATGGCGGTAACGTAACGCTCGCATTACTACGGTAATAGGCGAGTTCCCACCCCGCCACTCCCCTCCGCGGTGACGTNGGGGTTGAAAAGTTATGCCAGTTGTAGTTGCCATTTCACTGCCATCAGAAAAAAAAACTATATCTTGTTGCTGTCATTATTTTTAAAATATTATTTGGTTTTAACATTTTGTCAATAACAGAAGTAATGATAGTTTTATCTATTATTGTTCAGATGTGTAATCAATAAAAGAAGCAATGCTATTTTTATACATTATTGTTCAGACGGATGAAATTAGATCTGTACATAAAGAAAAAACATTATCAAAACTTAAATTGAATCAGTTTCTTAAAAGTATTGCAGTTTGCTTGTTTATTTCTACATTTGCATTTCATTAAACAATTTTGCTTTTCTGTATTTGATCACCTTACTAGGAAGAAAAGAGATAATTCTCCCAGCAAGATATTAATATAATTAAAACAATGAGAAAACTGAAAAAAATCTGTTAATATGTATAACTGCTGTGAATTTCTGGTTGCCAGCTTGCAAAATTCATTCATCTGAATTGAGTGGGTCATCATACTTCCAAGTTGTTTATTCTTGTAGTCCTTTTGAAGTTAAAAATAATTATAATAATAAAAGAATTGCTGACTGCAGAAGCAGTAAGCCTCTTAAAAGTATGGAAGGAAATTGGAATTGCAGGAGCAGTAAATTCAGACTAACCTTTTGGAGGTTTATTTACTTTCTTTATAGTTGATTAACATTCAGTTTTCTAATTTCAGAACTACATTGTGGCTAGTTTGTCAGATAGAAGTGACACAGACAGATATCTCAAGAATTTGTATGATTTATATTCAAGGTTAGTACCAGTATTGAATTCCTGTTATTGTAGGAATGACTTTGTTTGTACCTATGTTCCTGTTTCATCATGTCCTTCTTCTGTAAATATGGTTTTGTCTTTTACTACTTATACTACTACTGCCACTGCAATTTAGACAAAAGATTGGTGGATAAGGAACACTCCTACCAATAGCTGAAGTTTGGAGGTAATGAAAGGAGAAACAGAAAGCACAGTAGTGGCAGCTCAAGATCAGGCAGTAGCTAGAAACTATTTTAAGAGAAAAATTGAAAGAAGATATTGAGAGTAAGTGCTGATGATATAAGACATCAGTGCATCAGAATGGTGGCAATAACTTAGGCTGTGCACCTCATGATGGCATACAGAATATCGTTTCTTCTCTTAGTGTTAGTAAAATCTGTTTAACTTTTTATTTGATATTATTTTTTAATTACAGGTATTCATTGTTTGTCATTGCAGAAAAGTCAAATCCCCAAATGACTGCCTCATTTTTAAATTGCGAATGATTTTAAAATTATTTTATTTGCCTTTTTTAACCTCTGAAATGACATGTCTTGCTTTCAAATGGAAAATGATTTTTTTTTAATTTACTTCTTGTATGATTTTACCTTTTGTTACAGAGGTTTGTTTGTCATTACAGAACAGTTAAACTCTCAAATGATCTGTCTCACTTTCAAATGGGGAATGACAGTATGTATCTCAGTAAACTGACTACGAACATCTTTCAGAAGTATTTGGACTCGTATATCAGGTAAGATAGTCGTGGTGCATGTTCGACTGTCATGGAGTTTCTTGTATAGCTAAGTCTGTCTTGTAGGGGTTAGAAATTGCCGATTAGATGTAAGATAGTGGTTCTGAAAGTGATTTGTAAGGATGTTTTGCAAAGCCAAAGTAAATAATTACATTGTGCTCCAAGCGAAGCAAGTAATCTAGCAGTCACTATACACTGTCTTTACAGAGTAAAAAGGACTGCCATATATGGACAACATGTCTGTCTTTCTGTCTGGTATTTTTTAACAATTCTACATGTGAAATATCAGTAAAAGTTGAGCTATATTCATTCATAATATCTTATAATGTATAAGATATAATACAGAGGGCATATGTAGAGAAGGAGTAACTCACATACAGTTCCTTGCACCTGTGTCTCTAGTTCCTCTGGGTGATAATTAAAATTTTATGACTTCCCCACATACTTTTTCACATACATCATAAACTATTAGATGTTTCAAATTCAGCAGTGCGGTTAATTATTACAAATGAAAGGCTGAGAATTCTGGGCCTGTGCACAAGTTGCCAACATCTAGGAATGCCTTGTTGTATGCGAAAGTTACATTTGAACAAAAGTTTTCAGAACATCACAGTGTTAGATCTCTGTTTCTTTTAGAATGATAAACTGTCATTCACAAACACAGATATCATGTATGATCATATTAATTGATACAGATGTCCTTACAGTGGATATTAGTGTTATTTTCAGTGGCAACTTATCCTCTAATATAGCCATATCACTGATATGCAGCTGAAAGTAGAAATTTTATTAGTATGCTAAACATAAGTGAGGTACCAAATTGTACAACTTGGTGTCTTTACTTTTTCAGTGTAGAAACGAAGTGTCTGAAAGAAAAGAGTGCTGCAGTATTACATAAATATTATGAATGCAAGAATCACCAGAAGAAGCAGATCCAAACTGGAGGGTAAGTATATTATTTTGCTGTAAGAATCCTGATGTGCCATATCCTTATTCAGACTCCTTAGTAGTATATTGTTTGTGTGTGTGCACGCGTGCACCTGGCAGGCGGGCATAATCATAAGAAAACTCACATATCTGGTGAGATGTCTCAAATCTATGTTGATGTAAGTCACTCCATGGTACTAGTTCCTCCTTAAATGATTCAAGAAAATCCTGCTTTTAAGGATACTGAAGGTTCGTCGGTGTTTTCACAAAAGCGTGCTATTTGACCCTGTCCTCAGCCAGTTAATTGTAGTACACGCCATCAAATCCTGTTTCTGCAAGAAAAATTTTAAGATACAGTTAAAGATTTTCTGGGGAGCAGTGGGTTTGAGTACTAAACTGAGGAAATCTGAAATGGAGGAGATTTAATGCTAAGATTTTGAATCAGTGAAATTGGGTGTTAAATAAAGAAACACAGTAAAGCAGGGAATGTTAAATAGAGGTTCAATCATATTTCTCTAATCTGTGTTTAGGCCCCCCCAGAAGTCTACATTAAACCTTTTTCAGAAAATTTAATTTTGGTTCTTAATAGCCCAATTTTATATGAAGCTCAAATCAAACTCTCATATTTCAAAAAGCAGCTTCTCTTACAAATGAACTTCATACCACAAAATATAGATCTGATCAAGGTTCACAATTTTTACTTGGAACAGTTTTTATCCATCACAGTCCATGTTGAATAGAATACAATGAAAAATGCTTTAGGATCCTTACGCTGTGTAGTGTTAGTAATGTCATTACCTTTGTAATAGTAGATTTGTATTTCCAATAAATGAATAAATGACTGTCAAGATCAGTGATGTATACAGAATCATAAAGAACACGTTTCCATTTTTTGTTTTTTCCCCTGCCATGCTTCTCAAGGCTTTTATCTAACCAGAAACAGTTTTGCTTATATCACTTTTATGAATCTTATAATCCCTGCAGTGAATTTTTTCCTCCAGTTTCCAGGATTTGAGAAGAGATCTCCAGGCAGTGATTGGAACACGCACAAACTTTAACATTGCTCAGATTGAAAACTATGGAGGTGAAACATTCTTATCTGAAGAAGTAGCAATTGCATTACTTCAGGAGAGCAAATTGGCATTCAGAAGATGTGAGCTGGTAGGTATAATGTCAAGATATTACCATAACATTTTCATTGTGAATTAATGCTTAGATTTGAATTGTTGGTACATAGAATGTTGACAGGTTTACAGACTCATGGTACAGTACTACTGAGAAAATATTGGGTGAAGGTTGAGTTTTTTAAACCTCTGTATTGATTTTTCTTTAAAGCATATTGGTAAGATCAATCTTAGGAAATCTGGATGTTACATTGTGTCCTTGTTTCACCTGGCTGAGGAGAAAGTCCAGTATTGAACTTGTGTACATGATAATGAAGCTTGAGTTCCATGGAAGGCAGGAAATTTCTTGAAAAGTTGAATGATTATTAGTTTTTCGAAAAAGGATACACATTTCTGAAGTTTGTAAGTTAGATACTTCCTCTGAGAGAAAGCAGTGACTAATCTGCAATAACTTTGTTCATTATAAGAAACTTTCTTTCTGTATTTAGAGTCCATTTTGCATTTTTCTGTCATTCACTGCAATTCATTGAACCTTCCATCATACACTCCCATGCACTGTAATGACCCAGCAGCAGTATATAAAGTCCAAAGCTTGGACAGTATTTTAATCTAAGCCTTGATCATTTATTCACACCTGTTCAGATTCACTATTTACCAAAGGAACTTTAAATAGGGGTTGTATTGTAACCGATGTAACCTTTTTGAACAGATGGGTAACAGGTGTGTAAAAGCTTAAACTTCATTAGTGGCATGTTGGCAATGAAAAGGCGCTAAAATATGCCTCCTGGCTTCTTCATTTTTTGTCTATTCATCTGCATGTAGCGGTTTGAGAACCACTATATGGATTTTCATGAAATATCATGTATGGAAGTTTACTAAAATTTGTTTTCACATTCCATTTTCAGTTAAAATTGTACAGTGATAGTGGGCACTTTATATTAAGACCTGTATGCAATTTTGCACATATTTTGAGTGTAACTTGCTAGGTGTTTATCAGCAAGAGAAATTTTTCAAACATATAAATATAATTCATACAAACTAAATTCTCCTGTAATGATCCTACATCACTGTTACAAACATAACAGTTACTGACGTGGTACTTCATGTTCAATTGTTAGTTGTCCCGTCAGTCTGACCTGCCAGGTAATGCACTTCAGATATTTGAAATTTTGCTGCATTATCTCATGGCTGAGCACCTGGATTATGCCCTTGAACTGGGCTTGCAAAGTGTGCCCATACCAGAGAACAAAACACAGCCTCAGATCTCCTTCTTCGATGTCTTACGACAGTGTAATGCCATCGTTCATCTACTGGAGAAGCAGTTCATTGGTAGCCTTGTCCCATTGGTCATGTAAGTATATTCTGATTGATGAAGATTTGAATATTTACTTTTTCCAGTTAATGTTCCATTTGTGCACTGAAAGCCTGGAGTCAGCAGGGGCATCAAAATTTGTGGGTTCTGGTGTCTAAGGAGGCCAAAAATGTGTCCAGATTATGTCATTGTAGCTAGAAGGAAATGTCATGTTAGGTGGGTCCCTTGTCACCACAGCATGGCGCATCCTCAGGTTGTGGATGGAGGAAACGTCCTCCAGGTATGGAGGGTAGCTGCGAATATATTGAATAAGCAGTCGCAGACAGCTGACAAGGGGTGGTCCATCTTGGGGGTTGGGCATGGGGTCAACAACTCCTCACTGTAAAGAATAAGCTTGTTACGAAAATCTGCAAGAAACCACAGTCCTGGACAGGTTCCTTGGATAAACAACCTAAGTGAAAGAAAATGGATATAAGATTTGGTACTTGGTATGTTAGAAGCATGTATAGGGCAGGTTCATTCAGGGCAGTAGCGGAAGAAATCTCAAAATATAAGTTAGATTTAGTGGGAGTACATGAGGTCATATGGTGTGGAGATGGCACTGAATCAGCGGGGGAATATACATTTTTCTGTTGAAAGGGGAATGAAAATTATGAATTAGGTACAGGTTTTTTTGTACATAGAAGAATCATATAAGCAGTTAAAAGGGTAGAGTTCGTTAGTGATAGGATGTCATACATAATACTAAGAGGTTGCTGGTGTGATATCATTGTTCTGAATGTTCATGCTCCAACAGAAGATAAAATGGATGACCTAAAGGATAGGTTCTACGAAGAACTAGAACATGTATCTGATAAATTCCCGAAATACCCTATGAACATTTTGTTAGGAGATTTCAATGCCAAAGTAGGTAGGGAAGATACTTTCAAACCAACGATTGGGAATTGGAGTTTGCATGAAATTAATAATTATAATGGCGCAGATTAGTAAACTATACCACATCAAAAAATCTTACAGTCAAAAAGTACGATGTTTCCACATCATAACATTCATAAATATACTTGGACATCTCCTGATGGGAAGACATACGTACAATCAGATTTACCATATTTTGATAGACAGGAGACAGCACTCAAGTATACTTGATGTCCGATCATTCAAGGCAGCAGATTGTGATACTGACCACTACCTGGTGGTGGCAAAGGTTAAGGAAAGACTGTCAGTGAGTAAGCAAACGCATAAATTTCAGATGGAGAGGTTCAGTCTGATGAAATTAAATGAGGTAGAGGGTAAAAGAGCAGTATTGTGTTGAGATCTCAAACAGGTTCGCAGCTTTGGAAAATTTGGACACTGAGGTGGATATTAGTAGAGTCTGGGAAACTATTACAGAGAATATCAAAATTTCTGCCCAAGAAAGTTTAGGTTAATATGAACTGAAGAAGCATAAGCCAAGGTTCGATGAAGGATGCTCAAAATTACTAGACCAAAGAAAACAAGCCACATTGCAATGGTTACAGGATCCAAGCGAAATGAGTAGGGATAATCTGAACAATACAACACGTGAAACCAGCAGGCACTTCAGGAATAAAAAGAGGGAATATCTGAAAGACAAAATTGATGAGCTTGCAATGAACAGTAAGAACAAGAATATTAGAGACCTGTATAGAGGAATAAATTGCTTTAAGAGGGGTTACCAACTTAGAAGTAACTTAGTGAAGGATGAGAATGCTGATCTTTCAGATTCCCACAACATTTTTAATAGTTGGAAGAACTATGTACTTCTCTCAGTTATTGAATGTTCATAGAGTCAGTGATGTTAGGCAGGTAGAAATGCACACAGCTGAGCCCTTAGTACCTGATCCTAGCCCTTTTGAAGTTGAAAGTGCTATTGCCCCATGGCAGTTTCATGTGAATGTGGATATAAACATTTGTATTCTATACAGGGCATGGAAATTTTCACCTATTTGAGCAACTGTTAGCTTCTAGAGAAGTACTGTGCTTATAGGAGTTAGTTGGCTATTTAACCAGATTGTAAACTCAATTTGACTGCCGGGCAAAATATGTTAAATATGATCAGTACTCCAAGAGATGTATGTTGTGGTAACAAGAAGTTTTCTCTAAGTTCGATTTAATTTTTTACAGACGTGAGCTAAAAATTATGAATATGATGGCATTGTGAGTCTTTGAGATTACGTCTAGCTAGTTGGAAGCTTTATTAATTTATATTATGAACAAAAGTGTATCTTTGAAGTTATATAAATATTAATTTTTAATTTATTTTCTGGCTCTTCATTATAGATGGAAATGTTTAAAGAGAGGAAGTATTATTTGCCCTCCCTAGAACTTCTGTCATTAATCAATTAATAAGCTGAAAGTGTAATCACCTCCTTTGTCCAATGTTCCAGATCTACACCAAAGCATGGTGATTGTCTCCAGAAGAAAAAATATCTTTTGGAACAGATTGAATTTAAATTAGACATAGGACTTGACAGGTAAGATGGAATTCATGTTGTAGTCTTTTGTGTTATGACATTGTGCAGTCTGGCAGAGGGGTACCAGAGTTTCAAAGGATCATTCTGTCTCTACTTTCAGGTTATACCATGGAGATGGAGGTACTTTGTTCCTCTGATATGTTGGTACTCATTTAACAGACTGCAAGATGTTATAGTTCAAAGACCACAATATGAATCTTCACTGCCATGAAAACCTCACATCTCACATAGTTAAGACTGAAATTCAGTTTACCTTCTTATGAGGTTATATATACTCAGAATATAAAAATTAAACAATTTTTTGTAAAGTAATACCAGATATTTATGTGTACCATGAATATTGTTAATAGCAAGTTGGTGTTGGCTGAGGGAAAGCGAGGTAATATTATTATATTATCTATCACATGATGGACTGTGTATGGGGTTTGGATTGGTAATTAGAGTTACTGAATACTTATAGAATGAAACTATAGATAATTATGACAGCCTTACTGAGTTACACACTCCAAACATCACTGTAACAACAGCACACAGAAAGTCTTTTCAGTTTGTTATGTCTTTACCAGTTGTTTCCTGATGACGGATCCCAAGAATGTCCTCTCCTTCCACGCTCATGTTCTTACTGGCTGGCGACTCTTACAACTAACTCGGACAATGCTTAGGAACGACTGTTGTTTACTGAACCATTACTTAGGAATGTGGTCTACATGCCACAATATTCATCATCTGAGGAGAAAGAAAAAGGGCTGAATGAGACCAGTGGTACTGACATTATCATGTATTTCAGTGACAGTAGACTTTCATACTGAAAGACATGTTGCAAATACCTCCTTCATTCTTTGGTTGTTATGCTGCATGTTTCTTCCTTCCCCCTCCACTTCCCTTGGTTTTTGGTTTTTAAGTGTGGTAAGTCATTTCACCGTCAGTAATTTAGACATAATTGTTGCCATACCAAATTTCATAGAAATGAAGTTGCATTAAACCATACATATACACAGTAAAAGTGACACAGTGATCTCTTTGAAAGTGAAACAGAAATTGAGTTCCACCTGTTTGTTGCAGTTATTCATACTGAGAAGTTTTAATATTTTTTTTATGTCTCTGCGTATGGTCTCTTGACCTCTCTGACGTCTGTCTATGTGGAAAGAGTGATGGACTCCACTTGTGAGACTGGAGTATAATGTGGTAAATTCTGTTCAATCCCAAAAGTGTGGTGGCCAGCAAAGAGGATGTACAGTTGAATGTAGAATACAAATCGCACAAAGAAGTTAAGAATAAGAAACTAACACTTGTAAAATGTCAGTATTCAATGTGGAATCCAATATTTTTAGCATGGGGATCCTAAGGCCATTAGGTCTACAACTAAAAATAATATTTTACTTCTTCTTTTAGGTCCATTAATGCTATTGTTGGCTGGGTGAAAATATATCTTCAAACAGAACAGAAGAAAACTGATTTCAAACCTGAAACAGATCTGGACACACTGGCTTCTCCTGTAAGTGCAAGACTCGTGACGGAATAGTTTCTTAGTTTCTAACTCTCTTTGTTTCTTGTCTCATTGGGTACTCAACACTTTTCTTTGCAGGCATGTTTGGCTGTGGTTCAGTATGTTGGAAGCATGGTGGAAAGGATCAGAGATAGCTTAGATGGTAAAAACGTTGAAGCCCTTATGATGGAATTTGGTACACGTTTCCATCGAGTTATTTATGAACATCTACAGCAGTTCCAGTATAATTCAGCAGGTGAGAATAACTTTTGATGATTTAAATATGGATGAGGTTCATGATAAAATTAGGATAATAGTAAAGAATTAATAGAGCATCACAAAAAGAACGGGAAAGAACGTTCTGGCAGGATGAGTTCTAACAGTATTTAAGATCACCAGTGGTACAGAGGAACACATTGCCTCCTTCAGAGTTGAAGAATAAGCCAAACACAAAACCAGCAGTAGACAGGCAGCTTAAAAGACTAGCTATAGGCAGGTGATGTTTCTTTGAAATGTCTGTGGATATATTATAAACATGGAGTGTTCGAGTAACCCCATGAATATGACAAGTATGGCCAGCCTTATGTTTCCATCTCTTATATTGGTTCTGTTAGGTGTATGTTTGTCACATTACATTTTGTTCTAATAATGTAAAAGTACCGCATCTGTTGGCGCAAAAGATGTTTCATATAAAACCTGCAGAGAAAAATGAATCACGCATCTTATGTTTGCTACACATTTCCAAAACCTTATGGTAAGCTAAAAGGTAAAGTTGACCCTGTGCTTAGCTATTTAAGTACTGTGCCATGAAGGCATATGAGGGAGTGGATGTATAGATCAACATTCTCTTGACCTCAGCACTAGCTGGTGGTGAGTGGTCAGCTTCACGCCGTGGCCACTTTACCCCCGGGGAAAGAGCCCCTTGTGCCCATTGGATAGGAGGTTGGGTGAGCCCCAAGAACCGGTCTGGACAACATGGAGAAGAGAAAATTCTTGACTCTACCAGGGCTAAAATTCTTGACTCTGCCAGGACTAAAATTCTGACCCCTTGGTCATCCAGCTTGTAGCCAGTCACTGTACCATCTATGATATCCCAGCACCTATAACTTTGGTCATAAAGATAGTTGAACACATAGGATAGATACTATGCATAAATTTCAAAAATATTTATGGTCAGCTGTCAGGATTATGTTGTAGTTTGTAAATCAACTTGAAATGTATGAATGTAACTCGAACCTACTTACCTTCTAAATGTCACATGTTTCTTTTTTTAGGAGCAATGTGTGCAATCTGTGATGTCAACGAATATAGAAAATGTGTGAAAGAATTTAAGGTTCCATTGGTGAACACGTTATTCGATACACTTCATGCACTGTGTAATTTGCTTTTAGTAAAACCTGAAAATTTAAAGCAAGTCTGTACAGGAGACCAACTGGTAAGAACACAACAGTGTCCTCCTCTCTCCTTCACAGTAGGTATACATCTGACTTGGGCTTTGAGATTTTGTGGATAAGCCTTTGAAATTAATTGATGCCTGAAATTGGTTATGGCGTTTATGATTGTAAAAGTGTATTTTATCTATTAACAATCAAGTTCCTTCCGTCAAATGTGACACTTTTTTAAGTTTTCCACCTCGTCACCACCTGCCTTACATGTTTCGGCTCACCACGGAGCCATCATCAGAGGCATTTATAGTAGAAAAAGAAATCACCAACACACAAAACTTCACTTTGTCCAAGATAGCCACGTTCCAGTTAATTAAAATAATTACAAATAGTTAAAATTACCCAGAATGTCGGTTCACTAAAAGTTTTTCACACACCACAGTAGCTTCCTTATTTGATTCGTCGTTAATTCTGTAAAATTATGTTTCGTTATTTGAAGTAAGAATTCTTAAAATCCCTAGAATTCTTTCCCGCTTGGCCCAATCTTTTTGCTTCGGGATGTTGTTGACGTGTGTTGTCTGTAAATAAAAAGTTGTGGTTTTATTTAGATTGTATTATATAAGTTTTTATGTGTATATACTTTTAAGGTTCACTAACCTTACCTGTCGGTAGTTGATGTTGCTTGTCTGTGTGTTGTGATGCTTGTGTGCTTAAGGAGTGCTGTGTCGTGTGGTTTACGTATCCTGTGCTTGTGACGTCAGTGTGGGGGTGTACGAATCCTGTATTATGAGTTCGAAGAGGTTTTTTTGATTGTTGGTTTCTTTTATCTGTCTTTGTTCTTCTATTAATTTTTTGTGTTTGTTATGATAATATATTTGGAAATCTTCCTTTACATTCATTAGATTGCCCTTCTTAGCTGTTTCGAGGATTTCCATGATTGTGGTTATCGGCCCATATTGGTGTCTTGTGTTTAATATATGTTGGGCGAAGGCCGATTCGTCCTTATTTAATCTTATGTTGCGAATGTGCTCAGTGTATCGGGTTGACAGTTTTCTGCCCGTTTGGCCAATGTATACCTTTTGACAACTTTGGCAGGTCAGTTTGTAGATTCCGCTTTGCTCATATGGATCGATGTTTTTTCTTTCGTGTACTAGTTTGCCTAGTGTGTGGTTGGTTTTATAGGCTATCTTTATGTTTGTGTTCCTAAATAATTTAGTAATTTTCCTTATATAATTTCCCGTGTATGTGTATGTGATCCATTTTTGTTCTTTTTTCTCGTTAGTGTTTGGATTGTTTATTTTTTGTTTTAGTTTGTTGTGTATTCGTGTGATTTCATCTTTTCTGTATCCATTGTTTTGTGCAATTTCGATAATGGTGTTTAATTCTTTGTTTTTTGCTGTATCTTGGACAAAGTGAAGTTTTGTGTGTTGGTGATTTCTTTTTCTACTATAAATGCCTCTGATGATGGCTCCATGGTGAGCCGAAACATGTAAGGCAGGTGGTGACGAGGTGGAAAACTTAAAAAAGTGTCACATTTGACGGAAGGAACTTGATTGTTAATTGGTTAGTGTGACGGACCAGAATGAAAGACCTTAAAAATGTATTTTATCTGTTGGCTCCATCTGTGTTCTTTTGACCTTTCTAGTCTCTGGCAGGGGTTAGGCGGGATTCCATTAATTCTCAGTGAAATGGTGGTGGCGGTGGCAGCAGTAGCAATGAATCTGTTTTGCATCGTTTTAGCTCTTTGTTTTATGAAGAAAAACAGGCTTGCAGTATAAGTATGCACACTCGCCTGACATGAATCCTCTTGATTTTTTTTCTGTGGAAATACTTGGAAACCATGGTCTGTATCAGTAGTGAGTACTAGAGAGCAACTATGCTGTCAGATTCATCAGTTTGCAAGTAAAATAAAGAATACACCCAGAATCTTGAAATGCTTGAGAGTTTCTTTTTTGTGTAGGGCTGAGTTGTGTGTCCATGAACATAGAGGACATTTCAAGCACCTCTTGTAAGAAATTAAAAATGAAGCTTATTATTAGCTCTTTTGCCTGTCTTCTTTTTAACAGAACCAATTAAACTAAGGAAGTATTTAAGGTGCGACCATGGAAGTTGAAATTAGAATTTCTAGGTTTTTAAGGGACGTCCTCAGGGTACATATTCTTACGAGTGGTTTTTATTTTTATCTCCAGAAACCACCCTTTAAAATAGGGCATGTAATACTGATACACTGGAATAAAGGAAATAGTTTGTGATTGACTGTGTACATTATTCTGCAGGTGGTAGCTTTAACATTTTCCTTGACATGTCATTCAGTAATGTAGAACTGGAAGGGAATACAGAGGAAAGCAGGGGAAGTTGATGACATGAAAGTTTACATAAAAAGTGACAAAACTTCCCGTTGAATTTGCAGTGGGTATTACCCTAGTAGATCTTAAAGAAATGGCATATGAAAATGTAGGCTGGATTCACGTGGCTGAGAACCTTCTGGTTTAAGAAACTGTATTTCTTGACTAGCCAAGTGGCCATGACCTTCTCAGGAATTACTGTGCTCTGCGTGGTTAGATAAACAGATCTGTGAAACACTGAGCATTGCATTAAGTGTGCCTCTCCTTTTCAGGCCGGTCTGGACCGATCCATCCTTCTGAATTTCATTCAGCTTAGAAGTGATTACAAAACACAGAAATTGGCTGTCTCACTCAAGGGCTTAGCTACATGAAACTGGTGATAAAAAAGCACCTCAGGCCTTTATGTCTTTCTCTGATTAGAAGATGGATGGAAGTTAACACGTCAGTAATCAAAGCTGCAGCAAGAATGGAGCAGACAGGCAGAGTGTTCCTAAAGTCAGAGCTTTCAATATTTAGTTAAGTTGTAATAAATGGTAAATCATGAGTTAAGTGAAGTACTTAGAAGTAGAGGCTGATTTACTTGGAGGCGGCCCCAAAATAATAATTATAAATCATGCAGTAATTTATGATGAGAATGAAACTTTATATACCTTGGTAGATGTGGAAGTCCTTGGGTTACAAGGGATGTATAGAATTGTCTTCCCTTCACCTGGAAACACAGGCTTATGGTGGTCCATGTTCACAAATGTTGTAGCCAGTATGATAGAAGGAACTGCAAAAACAAGGTGAACTGAGCAGGCACCGGATTTGTTTTGCAAAGTACACTGTTACCAAGTTTTTGTTTTCCTCAGTAAATTGTTGCATGATTAATAATTAGTATATCAGAGCCTCATCCAAGTGAATCAACTGATATCATACAGTGTTAACTGCATATGAATTAATGTTATCACATGAAACATTTCTTCAGTATAACACAAATAATTTTCTGTATAAACCATGAAATAGATGACCTGTATTTGTATTGAGAACTCTTTTATTTTAAAATGTATTAATGTTGTTTTAAGACATTTATAACAGCCTTGTTTCCTCTCACTTCTTGTGTTTAACCCTTAGTGTATAAGATGTTTAATTAATCATTCTTGCATAAGGCTGGGTTAAATTTTCATTTAAACTGTAATAAGGTGCTTAAAATCAGAAAGTAATTTGTATTTCATGCTGTAATCAATCACACAAGTAAGACAGTGAGTGACCAGCTTCAAGCTCTTTCTGTGATGTGTTAAGTATATAGGGTATCAAGATGTTTCTCTGAAGACAAGGTTTTATCAATTCCTGTCCATCCTGTAGTGTATTGTTGCTACTCGGCTCACTGGTAGAACTGGCTGAATCTCACAGTGTATTTTTATTAGCAGTAAATCAGGAACAGGCGGCTACTTTAACTGAGATATGACTTTACTTGATGTATATGTGTTTTCTTATTTGCCATCTGAGGCTAACATTTATTAATTTGATAAGTATGAGTTAATATCTGAATTGTTAACCAGCTGGTATGCATTGATTTGAATCTTAATGTACAGCGATTGCCTCAGAAGCTTAAAGACTGACATTTGGTCAGTCACTTGACCCTGCACTCCTGAGCTTCTGTTATACTTACTGCCTGAAAGCGGCCTCCATAGTCTAAGGGTAACATTCGCACCTCATGACTCAAGGTATGCAGGTTCAAACCCGGCGGAGGTTGTGGAATTTTTAGGGGCGGAAAAATTCAGGGAACAAGTCCTCCAGGAGGGACTTTAAGCCGTAGGTCCCGTGTCGTAGATTTACGGCACATAAAAGATCCTCATGTCTCTACGAGACCTCTGAGCAAAATTAGGCAACACATTTCCCGCCCAAGTAGTTTCCAATGCCTCTGGTAGATGGGGGAAATATCAGGCACCTAGGGCCGACCTCGTTGGCTGAATGGGGCTGATAGTACGCACCAGTGCCAGTAGGGTATGGCGACGGTATAAATTAAAGGGGGGCGCACAGTGGACCAATAACTGGTCTAAGTTCATGGGGAAACCCACCCCCTCTAATAATAATAATAATAAATACTGCCTGAAACTTAACCAACTCAAAACTTCACCCGTTACTTACTCGTACATTATTATTCAAATATAAGATATATAAAACCACCTTCAGTCAAACTAAAACTTCTTCCTAATTGGTTAGACACACAGTGGGTGGATATGTGAACCACTTGGAATCCAATCAGTGCAGATCTCCAGTTGCCAATTCTGAATAACATATGCTCTTCAGGTTCACATCCACACCCCTGATGCATCAGGTACTCCTGTGAAAACATTTGCACATGCTTACCGTAGTAGTAAAGTTGGGGTTCTTTAATCCAAATAATAATCCTTTATAATTTCAGAAGGCATTGTTACATTTATGGGTAATGTGAACAGATGTTTGCCTGGGATTAATAAAATGGATTAAAAAGTCTAATATATTGGGCATACATATTGAACTGACACAATAGGTGGAGAAGCTATAAAATAACCAGACTGATTTTTTTACCAACTCTCTGTGGCCTTGGCAGTAGCGAGTGGGGTGGCGTATTAGCCTGCCCTCTCCTTTCCATCAACCATACGGCCAACAAGTGGTAGCAGCCTTTGTTTGAAGTGGACTGTGTATCTGAGCTCCGTTGGAATTGTGTTAAGTGTTAAAGTAGAGCAACATGTCAATGTGAAATTCCTCGCAAAACTTGGAAAATCTATTACAAAAACATACACTTTGTTGATGGAAATTTATGGTGATGAATGTATATCTCGTACTCGAGTTTTCGAGTTGTTCAAAAGAATTAAAGAGGGAAGAAGAGAGATCAAAGACGATCTGTGTCCTGGTAGGCTTTGCATGTCAAAAACAGATGCTGACATTGAAAAAGTCTGTGAAATTGTTCAAAATAATCATTGCCTGAGCATTCGAGCAGTTGCTGAATTAGCGAACATTGATACAGAAAGTGTTCGACAGATTTTACATGAAAATTTTAACATGACAAAAGTGTGCTTACTCTTGAGCGAAAGGAAACTCAAACATCCTTCAAAACATTGAAAATGATTTTTAGGAAATATAATAACTTCTGATGAATCATGGTTTTTTTCAGTATGACCCGGAAACTAACCGCCAATCCCTGCATTGGAAGAGTCCCCGGTCACCAAAAAAGCACAGAAGAGCAACTCAAACTTCAATTAAGTGCTAATCATTTTTTTAGCTGCCTGAAGGATTTTTCACATTGAGTGGGTGCCTGAAGGTCAGACCGTTAACCAGGGGTACTATAAAGAGGTTCTGACAATCCTTTGTGAACGTGAGAGAAGAAGGGCTCATGGATTCTTCACCATGACACTGTGCCTGCACACAAAGCACTATCTGTCAAGACGTTTCTGGTGAAGCACACGATCCTCATGTTAGAACATCCGCCCTACTCACCTGACCTAGCTCCATGTGACTTTTTTTATTTCCAAAGATGAAGTCTGCATTAAAAAGAACCCATTTCGAGTCCATAGATGTAGTGAAGGCAAAGGTGATGGAGGTAATGAAGAAGTAATCAGAAAAAGACCCGCAGCATTGCTTCCAGCAGTGTAAACTTCGCATGGAGCTGTGTAGGGGCAGGGAGGGGACCACTTTGAAGGTGATAACATTTCCATTGTGTGATTTTAGAGCATCAGTCTGGTTATTTTATAGCCACTCCACGTACATTGTTAAGCTGGATTGTCAAAATGAAAACTAGATTAAGAATGAATCTGTTAATCTGTATACAAAATTTTGAAATTATTAGTCATTATATACACCACCACCACCACCACCCAGTGAACACTACATTCTATGGTGAATCTTGGCCCCTGTTTGTACATCTTTTAATCATATAGATGTTAGGACTCTTTGTGTGGGAGATCAGCCCATTGCAAGGCCACTACCTACACAGGATGACACAAACACACAATAAATGCAAACATCTATACCTCAAATTGGTTCAAATGCATGACCCCAGCATTTGAACAAGTGAAGACAGTTCATGCCTTAGACCGCATGGCCACTGTGATCAGCCATTATGTACACCACTTTTCTATATTTCTGCAAAGTTATTTTTGTTATATTTAAATGCCCATATTGTCTGCTCTTAAAAATGTGGGGAAAATTAGTGCAACAAACATTTGATAAGAACTGTGTCATCATGTGGCAATAAATGCTTTCTTTCTGAAGAAAGCAGTCTTCTGGGATTTTGCACCGTGTATATGTGGTGTTAACCGACGTTTCGGAGGAACGTATCGCCTCCATCTTCAGGGTAGAAGAAAAAATATAAGAAATCTGCAAGCGAAGTGACCATGAGAACCGGTAAAAGCAGACTGTGTTGGAAATATACACAGCTATGTGAGAGCAGAGAAGGAAGGGGGGAAGGGCAAGTATACAAGTGNAGAGGTTTCCAAGACTTGCTGAGACAAAACCCCCCCTCTCTGTTCATATTTTCTGGATGCAGTTCAATCTCAATTGCCTCCCTAATGATGCGATCCATATAGCGGGTCTTGGTGGCGAGGATGGATGTATTGTGAAGCTGAATGCGGTGTCCCAGATCGATGCTGTGTTCAGCTACGGCCGACTTGTCCGGTTGTCCGGCTTTCTTTCCTCCTCGAATGTGTAGCATGCTCTGGCTACAGCACAACACAGATTGGTCAGACTCTCATATTATAGCTGAGTACCACAGCGTCATGTTTCATTCTGATAATAATTTGTCAATATCTTGAGTGTGTTACAGTTAAAATCATACAAATGTGAATGGCTGTGAACTGAAAAATAAATGGACCTAACCAATTTTCTTTCATAATGGTTTATGCCATTCTGGTCCATAGTCTCACTTCAAATGGAATATTTGTTTCACACATGATTCAGTGGCCACTGTTCTCTACACAGGCTTGATATGCACAAGGGCTCACAGTGATATAAATAATACTGAATGATTAAACTATGATGTATTCGGAAAAAAAAAAAATCAACTCAAGCAAGTTGGCTCAAGTGTCAATGCTGTTGAATTGTATTAAGAGCTAAGGTAAAGTTATCTCTGTGCTTAATTAATTAAGCATCATACCAAGAACATGGGGAAGGTGCCTGTTTCATATCTCAGCTAAGATCTGACTGTCCTGAGATTTTTAAGTTTTTCTTTCCATCCAGGCAAATGCCAGGACCATGCATTAAAACAGGCTATGAACCTTCCCTCCCCATTTTTTTATTACTTTCCTTGATGTGACTATACATGTCACATCAGGGAAATTTAATAAAAAATACATGCTGTAGGGATCCGTTGCAGTGACCATGCGACACCCTCTATCTGCTAAAGTTGGCACTAACTTCGCCGACAAGCGGCAGCCACTCAGTCGGTATAGTTCGCTCATGGAGTAAGACCATAGAGGTTCTTTTTTAGTTAGATGTGACCATACATGACAAAAGGGACAAATTTATAGATAAATTTTATTGTCCTGCTGTAGAAAGAAATAGACCTACAGTGTATCTTGAATTTGAGATATCCACCCCACCTTTGTTCATATGACACTTGACTGATAATGACCTCAGGCAAGAGACCCTGAAGTGCTGTCACCAGAAACCCCACAGGTTTCGAGTGTGAGGACATGCGGGTAGGAGGGAAACCTTTACAGGAAATTTTGATTGTCAAAACACTGTCAAATATGCAGTGGCATACTAGGTGTGATAATTTAATTCCAAGAATGGCCACAGTGTGTTGCTGGGTTGTTGAGCTAGGCAAACTCGTGTACCCAAGCACATCTGGACATATTCCAAGTTGTGTTTATATGCAGCACAGACCAAATGAGTTGTTCTTTCCCAGGCATCAGAGGAAGCAGTACGTGTCCATGGTATACTGACAAGAATCTATCTGGAGCAGCGGATAAACATTAAGTTTTTTTGTGAAGATTGGTAAAAGTGTTAGTGAAATGTTAACCCTATTAGCAGTGGCTTATTGTGAATATGCTATAAAGG